GATTTTTTTCCCGGAAAATGCATTATTTCGTATATTAGCCCATGGGCTTATATGCGCGGAACTACGGTAAGCGCATTTTGTTTAATAGCCAGCTGTGATGCGGATGTGCAAACGTTCCCGAGCAAAACTCCCAAGCTGGTTGGGTTTCTAAACACACTTCAAGTGTACTTGGTCCGCGTCAGCAATATTGTCGCTTATCTTTCGACAATTTGAACTTAGACTTTGGACATGAACGCGTGCACTTGAAGTGATAAAACTTGGTACGATGGACGGTAAGGTATAGAATGACAACTAACTGCGAGGAATTTATTGTCCAAGGAAGGGTTCCTACTTTTTTCGGTCCTCCTCATCGCTGCTCTTGTCTCTGGCGACAAATATTTTTGCTCGGGATCGACTCTCTTGCTTTTGCAAGCTCATCTCTCTTCCTCTCCGCTGCCTGGCTATTTTCTAAGGAGAAGTCGATCGTGACGGTCGCCTTCTCTAAAGGATTTCGCCTGGGCAGCGCGACAGCCTGTGTGGTTCAAATCAGACGCCGTTCTTTGCAAGATTTTATTTTGAACGACGACGACGCGCACAGTACATATACTTGCAAATCTCCACGACGCGCTGGATACTCCGAGCGAGGAGCTGGAGGTAAGGGAGCTGCGATCTCAGCTTGATGAGCGATCCCTGAGGTGAGCGATCTCGGCCGTTGAGCAAAATGGAGCTGATTCCGAGTAGCCGATTACTTCGAAATACTTTCTTGTGGCTTGCGCTGCTCTTGCCTGCACAGCGTAACAAGATAATCTTTTTTGATGCGGCGCTGTATCAATCAGAATCACCCACCTGTCGCTCTCGAAATCTACTCGAACTCTAGCTAGACCTTTTAGGTACTAGCAAACTAACTTGCTAACCAAAACTGAGATGAAATGGGCTGCCAAATAAGCATTGGCGACATATAAACAAAGCTGAAAGATAAGCGACAATATCGCTGACGCGGACCAAGTATAGCCAAAGGTAACGCGGATGTGCGACCTTTACATTTTCTTTTCAAATTACATCAACATACTTGCAAGGTATGGTGAGTCATGCAGTGACTTCACGTAGGCTTGCGTCGAGCTCCGCCTTGCCTGTGCCGAGCCAGTGCGATGGTGAGGCTGCGGTCCAGGACGGGGATGCATCTCAACTGGATCTGCAAACAAAAACAAAATTTCTCATTTTAGAAACTCGGCTTGTATCCTATATTCCTATTACAACGTGTATCATTATTATCCAGGAGTCAAAAAAAAACTAAAAAAAATCATGTATTTACTGCATACTTGTGTATGTTTTTTTTGTTTTTTTTTACTGAATACCACAGAACCATCAGATGCTGCACAGCGGCGGTGGCATATTGGATGGAAGTGGGGGCGGGGCAAAAGAAACTCCTCCGACCAAAGGTCTCGGAATCATCATTACTCCTGTGCGCCGATACAGAGGAGAAAAGAAACATGTGCATCCCGCAAGAGGGAAGCACCGGCTTTGCAAACGATAATGGGTGCAGAGTCTAATCAGCCAGCACACAGCAGGCAACACGCCTACTTGTACTAGATGAATGGCTGGTCTGGCACATTTTTCGATAGAGTGGTCTCACATCTTTGTCATGTGACTACATTTGCGTAAAGATTAGAGAGTGCTCACAGTATTTCACGGGACACCGGATTCAACATGGCCGACATCATGTGACCCATAGCAGGGCTTACAAGGCTGGCCTGTACGGTCATTTGATACATGTTTTTCATTTTTATTTTTTATTTTACTAAACACAGCCCAACTGGAGAACATGTGGAGAACGAAAAGAAGACAGAACAAGACACAGGGGATGTAGGGACGACGTGCCGATGTGCTGGGAGCAATTCAACCGACCAGGGGTCTCGGCGTCAGCGTTGCGAATGGGCATCGAAAAATGGGATGTGCAACAGCTCTTTACTTTGAAGTACTTACAATCCATGTCGGGCATGTGAACACTTGAACCACTGGCGGACCGAAGTGAGTGCCGCCTTGAGCCATTCATTGCCATCGGCTATATTCAGAACCACAAAGAAGAAGGGTAAACAGAATTCCATATCAGCCGGATATGTCCGGCCAGTGGCTACGATGTTGGCCGTCTCAATGTTGTTCTTTGCACACCGGTAATGCTAGAAAATGTGCGTCATCCAAGGTATACAGTCGAATGTCACTTATCCGGTCGCCAGTTATCCGAGCACGTCGGCAAGAGTACATAACCCCCCAGAGTGTGCAACCCCGACCCAGCTCTGTGTAGGGTCTTGGTCGAGCGGAATCGGATCTTCTGATGTCATGCGTACACTTCACACCAGCGCAAGGCCGGTCTCGAGGCAGGGCACCATTGTTTTTGATCCAAGAGTACCCGCGACTCCCCGGGTTCCCCTCAGATGTGTACGGTATTATGACGCAAAGATCCGATTCCGCTCGACCAAGACCCTATGCAGAGCTGGATCAGGCGTTGCACACTCTGGGGGGTTATGTACTCTTGACGTCGGTTATCCGACAAGCCCGGGAGTGGTAATTTTATGACTCTCAACAGTAAAATTCTTTTTTTAACTTTTGTGTTTGTTTGTATATTATACGGTGTAATATGCATTTACTTGAAGTAGATGTGGTCAAGTATGCTAATATGTATGTGTGCATGGAGCAATTCATGAATATGCATGAATATATTTGGGTATTGTGTACATAAATCAGTGAAATCCAGCCATATATGCACATAAAAGAATGATATCAGTTATCCAACATATTCAGTTATCCAAGATGCCTGATTCCCGAAGTGGTCGGATAAGTGACATTCGACTGTACATGTATCAGTACTGTAGATCGTGTCGTGTGCAGGGAAACTGCATCACACATAATGATACAGGTCATCCACCAGAACCAATCTGGTTGTCAGGCCATCACCGCACCAACGTGTTGGCCACCAACTTGTGACACATGTTTACTGCTGAGGAGGGTATGTATACCTTCAGTCCATTTCAAAACTATAGACGGGTACCTAGGCAAAACCGTTATGGCAGCATCTACATGTACATGTATACCACATAATCTGTGATCACTTTGTGCACACATTTTTTTCCAAAGTGGGCGCCTGTTATCCAATCGTTTAGAAACTATAGAAGAGTAATTGTGGAGCGGACCTGAGCTATATTCCGAAAACTATTCTCAAACAGTTCCAGCCAAATTTGAAATACTTCGAAAACACTGCGCGTCTATAGTTTTGAAATGGCCTGTACATGTACATGCATATCATACGCAAAGTATGAAAGGCTATGGCATGGCCAGATCAATCAAACACTGCTTCCGGCAGTCCTGTAATTGTAACGTGCAGGTCTACCATGGCAACTGGTTTCTCTTTTAAACCTCCTTGCCTTGCTTACCTCCTGGGAAAGGAAATACTTGTTTCACTAGCGCTGGTATCGGGTGAGAACTCGAGTATACGACTGTCGCAGATGGTTCTACACTGTGTCTGTATGCATGGTATGGTACTTGCTGCCATACACCGTGTGACGACGTTGAATTGGGTACTGCGGCATGGAATGACTGTGACGTGTACTGCATACCACGGAGCGCATGAAATCCCCGTGCTGCGGCCCTGTGTGTACCTCCCAATGCAATGTGTGGGTCCGGTGCTGCACGCAGGGGCGTAGCTCGTACATGTATATCCGTGGTGTGGTGACCCGGTACTAAAGCATATCTGTGGCATGGTGACCATGGTGACCATGGTGACCATGGTCACCATGGTCACCATGCCACAGATATGTACATGTACAGTGAACTTCGCGCTAATAACGACTCAGGATATAACGACAGTTTGCGAATAACGATTGCATTTCCATGCCCATAGCAAAGTCCTGACGACGCTGACTACATGTATACTCGCTACTCGCCTGGTAGACCCCTACTTGAAAAAAGGTATGCAGGGCCCCGGGCATTGGACACATCCCTGCCAACCGTCTTGGTTTGGCTGGGACCGTCCCCATATCGAGGGCGCCGGGTAATAGGCACCCAAAAGTGCCTTTGCTACACTGAGTGTGCATTTGTGCACAGGTATAATTCCATACCTACATGTAGGTATATCGATGTCCCGATCTCAGGTTTGCAAAGGTTGGCAAGTACATGTACATGTATGTGGACAGGTAATGGCAGGAAGCGTTTTAGGTGAATCATTGCTAACCTTGATCGTTCACCGTGTCTCTGCTGTTTGTGCCAAATGTGCTGAGACGCTCGTCAAATTTTCTCCCCGGCAGCTGGCGACTTTCCAGCCCAGCTCAGCTGTCACCGCGATCCGATTCGAAGCTGCAATCTCAATCTGGTAACAGGCGGCTTGTTATTGATCTTGAAGCTTGCAGTGTGCCGCCAATACAAGTGATCCTACGATAACTCTAATTCTGCCACGCTAGGATCGCTACAGTACAGGTGGATTTGACTACTAGACTTGCTGGCAAACTCTCTCGCTACCACGAAGATGACTACTGCATGCCCTCGCTGGATTCAGGCAGTGCACTCGCTGGTTCGAGGATCCCGTTGGCCGCACACTATACTAGTGCACTATCCACCACCCTGAATCAGTGAATGTAAAAGCGGAGTGAAGAAACTCTCCGTCTTCAAGTCGAAGGGGCACAACATAAAAGCTGGCAACCTTGAGCAGTCGCTGAAAGAGAAGTACACTACTCACTATACTAGTGACTACCTAAATCTGGCTAAGTCCTTGTGTGCTTGAACGAGACTCAATGACATTTTTTGGAGTTGCCGCCTCAAAATAATGATGAGTTTGTATGACTACAACATTCATGGTGTTATTTGCATGGTTTACGACTACGAGTCGAGCTTGCTGCGAGCGTTCCTTCCACACACCCGCCGTTGACAAGGCAACGGCACATTTCGTCATGCGCGCGTCATACGTACCTGGATCATGTGGATGCAAAAGTTTTGAAAATAAAAATGAAAGACTTGTATTGGCTGTGCTGAAATCTGCAGTATTTGGGTGCAGTGCTTATCTCGAGTCTAGATACCTATCTCCTTCAAACAGGAAAAGCAATCGTGGATTCCCATCTTTCCTGCCTACAACAAATGTTGTGCACCCCTGCTCGTATCACCGGTCATGTCTTTCAAACTGGTTGGCGATCAATTTTCTCAGATCAAACAGACTCAGGTAGGTAGGTCACTGAAACTAGTATTTATACCAATATCAGTTTGCGTACTGTACAATCATGTTCTTCGATCAATTGTAGTGTACTGGCCATTAGATCACGGGCACACTTTGAATTGAATAGTTTCATTTTTCTAAGTACTCGCGGACAACATTGCAGGCATTTACACAGTCAGTGTGTTTGTGTTGAAGGACCCTAAACTTACGTTTTTAGGGAAATTTTACCTAAGAACTGCAGATTGTGTGAGTGACACGTGATAGTCATCTTTCTTGTTTGCTTCACGCTCCGGGCAGTACAGGTTTCACGCTTGGTACAATCAAGAGTAGCTAAACAAGAGTGTGCAACTCCGCATCTCTTCTGCACAATCTGCAGATACCCCGGTCCACGGCGGAAATTTTGTTGCCGTCACCTTTTCAGAAAACGGCGCAATTTGCCGCAGAGCAGTGTAAGAGCACGTGCTGGGCACCGACCTTGTAATGTAAAGCCCGGCCAAGTGCAAGAGGCAAAACTTCCCATAAGACTCGCAGCGCGTGCACCGTCGTAGAAAGGAATACGTCAACAAAAAATTCGGCCATGGGCCAACCAACCCATCCGGGAATTGCACACTCTTGGTCTACTAGTAATTACAGTAATGTGTTGTTTGGTGACTCATTCTTTCTCGCTTTGTCCAATTGCATACTTTCCCTGTCCTGCAAACCAGAAACGGCGGAGATGCGACCTGCTGCTCGAGAGTGTACCGGATGACGAAGCACTGCTTATGAAGAATGGCAGGTGAGCTTTGCATTGCGCCCGGGAAACAGTTTCCATCTTGGTGGCCTTCGGGCACAGTTAAACTCCGGTTAAAAGCACCCGGGATGTAACATACTATGGAGTATAGGAGCTCTACAGACGGCTCTAGTTGATTCCACACGCTCAAGAGCAATGAAGAGTTACAGCAAAAGGATAGCCTCGTTCCATTGCTGACTTGTGTCGTTTGGTTCTGGCCTCGCTGTATAGAGCACTTTCGCGAGTAGTTGGCAACGTACATGTAGCTTGTGTTATATTTATTGTAGTGAGAAAAGAAGAAGGGCAAAATGTTACGAGTTTTGACTAACTGTCCACCAACGTAACCAGATCTTATACAGTCAGCGAGTGCGACAAGATGGCACAAAACTGACAAGGAGCACTGAGACATTCGGCGACCTGCACATTTTGTCCTTCTTCTTTTTTCACCATAATTTAATTGGCTCACCATCCGAGTATATTTATTGTGTTGTTTTCCTACTGGCTCGTAGTGGATAGTGTTTCTACATGTACATATATGTGCTGGATAGGTATCGCATGGTTATGTGCCGAGTTATTTCCTTGCCTCATGCGTGTATACCAGTATATTGTTGTTGACTTTTATTTTACTTCACCGATTGCACAGGCATTGCTGTCTTCTCATGATGCCTGTGCAATTGGTGAAGTAAAATAAAAGTCAACAGCAACATGCACGCAGGAGGCAAGGAAACAACCCGGCACAAAAATCATGCGATACCTATCCAACATGTATGTTGTTCACTGTATCTGTTCGCCGTTGCAGGTTTGCATGCCTGGTGTGCTCGTGGAGGCCAACGTTTGACACCCTGGAGATGTTGGCAGTTCATCGCCAGAGCCAGAAGCATGCTGATGGTAAGTGAGTGCAAGCATTTCTGTGATATTCATTGGTTCATTTCTGTGATGCTAGGCCAAGGCAATGGCAGACCAGCTGTCCATTTATCTCGGGTAGCAAAGCTGGCTTCAACATGTTCCAGCACTTTCCCTTTATGCAGTGAATGACCACTTCTAAGCAAGGAGTAGTAAAATACCAGTTATTTACTTACTGCTCCCTGCTTCTAAGCCTAATTTCTGAGCTACCTTGCGGTAATCACAACATGTGTTAGGCCATGTAGTAAACCATTTCTGTCAAACACTTTTAGCTGCTCGCATCTGTACATTCCGCCACGCTACGTCAACAGCCCCCCCCCCCCCCGGCTGCTTTTCTCAACCTGCCTGTGCCGTGCCTAGTTTGCAGGTTTGGGATGTACAGTGTATTGTACCGTGTGTTGTGTTTTGTGTGTTGTGTATTGTGTGTTGAGTCTACTGTGTATTGTACTGTGTATTGTGTGCTGGGTGTTGTGTGCTGGGTGTTGTGTGCTGGGTGTTGTGTGCTGGGTGTTGTGTGCTGGGTGTTGTGTGCTAGATGTACAGTGTATTGTATTGTGTGTTATCATGAATCTGTACTCTCTTGTACCATCATCCTTCAATGCGACGGACCCCACGATAGGCGGTCAGCCTTTGGGTCATCCTAATAAAGTTATTATTATTACTAGAGAGGTTCTGCACAACGAAAATTCGAACGAAGTTTCGCGACAGGCCTTGCGAAAATGTGTACGAATTTTCGCACGAACTTTGTGTTCTGCACATTTTCGAAGTTTGCACGCGCCAAGTGCACGTACGACATGACCCAATCTCACGAAACTTCCTACGAAAGTTCATTTCGCGTTCCCTGCAAGTTTCGCGTCCAAAGTTGCGAAAGTTCATGCGAAGTTTCTCACTTCGTGACGTGGAGCGAAAGTTCGTACACATTTTCGTTTTGCAGAACCTCTCTATTATTACTATTGTGTACCGGGAGTTGTGTACTGTGTTTTATATTGCACATTAACCCTGTTGTGTTGATCACCGCTGCCTTGTGCTATACAGCCATGGTGAAACGCATCGAACAGCAGGCGTCGCTCCAGCTGGAGATCATGAAACGCGAGCAGAACCTGGCAGCTGCTGGTGGACATTCCAAGGTACAGTGTTCGTTTGACTGCGCTGCAACCATGGGTTTAATTTTGTTACAAGTACTTGCGTGGTACTTTCGCATTCATTGCTAGACAACTACTGTACAAGCAGAAATATTCGTCTGGAATTTAATTTCGTCTTTTTCGTCCAAGGAGCTTTTGGACTAAATTAAATGCCGGACTAATGTCGATTTGTCTAGCTTTTCAATGCACTCTTATGATCCATGGACGAAATTTACGACCGGACAAACTCCCTTTCTTTGGAGTTGGACGAAATTATTGACCCACGAAATTTTCTGCCTGTACAGTATTGTTTTACAGTCTCCAAACTCTGTGCTTATCTGATACAATGAGTGCATCTTTCTCTGGTAGCATCCCATTTCCTGCTCTCATGTAGTAGTTCTGAAGAAACTAGGCTGTGCTCAGCTTACCTTCATAATTTCAATCTTTTTTGACATTTTTTGTGATCGCAATCTATATCCAGGGCCTGCCGTCCTCTCAGCGCAGCGGTCCTAACGTAAGGCAGTCACCGTCTTCGTCGTCGCATCCGCCGCCCCTGGTGACAGATACTCGCGAGCGTGTCACCCGGGCTTTGTCGCAGTGGTCGGTGCCATACGACCCGCGTGTATCTGGCGGCCGTCACTCTGGAGCTGCCTCGGCGCCTGCCTCATCTCGAGTGCAAGGTAACACTAGTCTTTCCTCCTTGTGTCGCCGCTGATTCGGTTGCTGAATGTTTATTGTTATCATTACTACAGTCAACTTCGCTAATAACGACTGCACTGCGGATATAACGACAATTCGCGAATAACGACAGAATTTCCATGCCCAGAGCAAAGTCCCATCCCACTGTAATACATATAATGAGACTTCGGGTATAACGACACCTTTTTGATGCCCCGCCGAGTGTCGTTATAAGCGAAGTTGACTGTATGCACACACTCATGGCCAAAGCCAATCAAAAGAGGTGTGTGCGATTATAGCCAGCCATGGCAAGCCAAACAAGCAGAAGCATTGGAAAGAAACACAAGATACATTTCAAACATGTTGCGTGGTGATGTCTACGGCCTTCATTCTATTTATAATCATAGCTTTAATTATAGTATTGTTTCCTCAAAGATTGTCTGTAAACACAAGAGAGAGAGAGAGAGAGAGAGAGAGAGGGGGGGGGGGGGGGGGGGGGAGAGTTGTGGACTCCTTCTTGCGTGCTGTCAAGTCGATAATATTACTTGTCATAAGTATCGCCGAAGTCGCACCAACCTCTTCTTCACACAAAAGTGTGGCGGCAATTATGTGCTTGAAATGCTGGTTGCTTGCAATGTGGGATCATGTCAGACTTCTATTAAAGTAGTCATAATATCTCTTCTGGTGTGTTCTCTCTTATGTTGGCAACGGGTGCAGGTGTGTCTCAGGGTGTTTATTCCAATAGAGGGTCTTCGCTGTGTCAGGCGCCTCACTCTTCTTCACTGCAAGCAGAATCTGCAACTGTAGCTGCAGTCAAAGACTCAGCGGACACCCAGTACGTCTTTCCAGCGCGTGCTGGGGTGGCCAAGAAGAAAAAGAAGAAGACAGCGGGTAGCTCGGCAGCTAGCACGTAGGTCTCATCTCCGTTGTTGTGAGCGTGTTGCTTGCAAGCCTGTCTGTGTGGTTGTCCTTGTGTTGTTGAATTGTCTTGTATGCGGCGGTGAGAACCCGCCATTGCCACGACCCTCGCTGTGGACCAATTACTGGCTTCTTGTGTACGCGTACTTTGCACTGGCGAGTACTGAGTATGTGGAGGCAAAGAGTCTAAGCCATTATTTCCATTAACCACTGCACTCTGCATATGCGCATTGATGTGTAGGTGAGAGCTGTTGTCTAAACTCTTGACTGCATTTGTTTGGGGTGCTATTCTATCTTGTGTTCAGGTCAGCATCCACCCAGCAGTCAGCCAAGGGATCAACCACATCCAGCGAAGCTGAGAAAAAGGCTACCCGGGTTCAGCGCCTTCTTGAGTAGGTCTTTGTCTTAATCGTATTGGTGGTTGCAGCATATTTGTAAGGTGCCATTCAGCATTAGGGGGGGGGGGGGGGGGGGTAAGTTGCATGTTTAAAAAAACTTCTTCAAAACGTGTTGAAAATCTCACGTTAATACGTGTACATTTTAGAGGTTAAGTTACACGTGCAATGTGACGTGAATTGTATAATTTTAAAACCCATTCAACACAGTCGACAGCCCCCCCCCCCCCCCCCACACACACACAAGACACAAGTTGTGCTGTCTTTCATCATTTCATAGTGCCTGGCTGGTTTTCGCTGCTACTAAGACGGCTCATGAGATAAACGAAAAAATGCAGCAAACATTAGAATTTAATGCAAACTAAAGAGTCAATGGATTATACAAAGACACATCTAGGCTACCAAAAAGCTAGGTGCTCCAAGATCATTTAGAAATGCTGCTCAATGAAATCCAGCTGCGTCACTCAAGTGTCCGCCTTGCATCATTTCGCAGCCCAGTTTTCGCAGGTGTAGGGCTGCGCAACGCCTGGCGCGTACTTGAGTGTCGCGACTGGATTTCATTGAGCAGTACTGTAGCTGTGTTTGGAATAAGCAATTTGGAATGAGCAATTTGGAATGAGCAAGAATGAGCAATTAGCAAGAAAAAAATTCTGTTTTGGATATTGTTGCGGCCCTCTGGGCATGGTAGCAATTACTGTATCAGGTCGCCCAAACCGGCTTTCCAGAACCTGGAGCACAGTCGGTAGTTTCTCTCCCAAATCAACAAGTTCCTCTCGTATTCTTTTGACATTAGTTTCTGTGTGAGCTCTCAAAGAATCGACTTCGAGCATGCAATGATCAATCTTCTTGTCTCTTGCCTTGCTAGATTTCTCCATGTTGTCCACTTTATTTTTGACATTAGACTTATCAAGCGTGAGCCCCTCTTCAGGTCCTGTTGTCCAGCAAGAAGCAGTTCCTTCAGCAGGCTTTCAGCAGTGGCTACCGTGCTTATCGTGGGCGGGGTGTCCGCAATGGTGTGTTGATGGACTCTGATGATATGCCATCGCTGGTTATCGATCTGTTGCCTCCATGGCTAGGGGTAGAATGATTTTCCTTCGCTCTCTTCTTCTGTGCGAGACTCTGCTTACTGCTTCTTAGACTCCCAGTATTGGACTTGGAATCTGGCTTCCGTTTTTTACCAAAGCCAACGCCAGTCAAGGGAAAATCTTCGTCAAAGCACTGGAGCTCATTTTTGACATCCGCCTCACGACCCCCCCCCCCCCCCCCCCTCTTGGCTTTACCTGCTTCAACTTTCTCCTCTTCCGCAGCCCTCCACCGTGACGCGAGCTCAGTAAGCAGCTCATGGTTGCGAGTAAATTCTTCCTCGGTTCCGCTGCGCCTCTTTGACTTGTTGTCATTTACAACGAAGGATCTGTTCTCCCTGATTGTTTGCTCCTTGTATGTTCTAGCAGGCAGACTGCTCATGTCTGCAAACGTCTTTCTCTCGATATTGTCCCAGTCCTTGGATCCTCTCAGGAAAGGCATTGGACTTGCCCATCACCGCTAGAAGCGAGTGCAAGTCATGCTCAACTTTGAATCGGATAAAATCCCTTCCTGGAGTAGGCTGTGTGCTCATGTTGGCCGACATCAATCAAATTGAATCAACCGAGCACTACTCTAACACTCACAACAAGACTGCTCAAACTAACAACAACGTGTTACTACCTTTCCACTTGGTCTCCACAACTAATAGAAGCAATCTCCAGCTGCCGGCTCACGGAGATCCAGAGAAGGAAAACCTTATTTTCCCGCCACATAGCACCAAAATCAAATGTTCCAACAACGGCAATCGAATGACGGATACTCACAGCAAATATCCAATCGGGATAACCAAAGACAACTTCCAGAAAACCCACATCACCTAACAACGTGCAGGGTTCCAGCCAGGTCACAATAGTGTGTGTGTGGGGGGGGGGGGGGGGGGGAGCGGCAGGTGAAACAGGTACTCTGCAACGACCCTGACAAGTGTGCCTTTTTGACACCTCTCTTAGTGATTATCAACTTCATTTTCGTTGAATTGCCTGAAAAATACAAAATTGACGAATGAGTGGGTGGGTGAGGGGGGGGGGGGGGGAGGGAGGTGTGGCGCTGCGCCTCCTTGCCCTCCTTTGGCTAGAATCCTGACGTGCAATAACACGTGAAAAAACACTTCGTAGTCATCAAACTTTCATACTTCCAAAGTACATGCCATTTACGTCGATCGGGAGCTACGTACATGCATACGGCACTGTACGATGAGTGGGACACATTTTAGTAATTGTATCAATTTCGTATTTAAAGTGGCGGCAGCCTTGCGGAATTTGCGAAATTAAAACGACTACGAAATATAATTGATTTACAGCATTTACCTTTAGCGTGCATTAATCTTACTTACTTTCTTAGCACCGTCACGCATTCTTCACGCATTCTTCACGCATTCTCGGTCTTGTTTTCCAGTACGTGTCAGTTCTCCTACTTATTGTCTTTTGTTGTGTGCTCATATCCAGGTCTGGCTGGGTCCTTTGTAACGACGGCTCATGGGTGAGAGACCCTTCCGCCGAATTTGACTCGGACGAAGAACCACCGTCACCGCTCTAAGCCCACTGAGTCGTCCGAGGGAAATTTATTTTGTTCTGGGAATGCTTAATCGGCCCGAATTCGTCTCCGATGAAGAATCACTGTCGCGGCTTTAATCCCTCTGAGCTCGTCGGAGGGATACGTAGTGAGTTTTGCTGGATTGGCGACTGGTAGTATTTTCCTTCAGGAAACTGCTGAACTACAATGACAAACCGGTATTTTGTCTCACGAGTAGCTTGCCGACCGTCCTGTAGCGTAGAGAAAGTCAGCAGAGAGCCAATCCGGACTTGAACAGTGCCTGTAGTCCAGCGCCACGCCATCCAGTGTGCACGTAACAACAGGTACATGCAACACTCTGTGTGTGTGTGTGTGTGTGTGTGTGTGTGTGTGTGTGTGTGTGTGTGTGTGTGTGTGTGTGTGTGTGTGTGTGTGTGTGTGTATTGGGGTTACTATGAAGGGGGGGGTCCGGGGGATGATGCATTTTTTCATCCTATTGATATTTGGCTATAATGATGTGGCAACACTGGACATTGTCGGGGATGTTTTGCTGTGACAGACATCCACACAGCAGCTGTCAGATGCTGCGCATTCTAGTTCTCATGTGTGTCTGCTACTGCTTTGCGCTTGTGTTGTGTTTGATGTTGCCGTGATCACTTGGTCATTGATTTGTCAACCAAGAGTGCATGAAACCGAGCGGGTGCAGCTCTGATGGGTTGCTGCTGCCATGGCAAAATTCCGGCATTACAACATTTTAGTGATGTAGTGCGTGCAAGCAGGATTCAAACCGGTCTCTTTTTGCACAACTGCAGCTCAGTCGTACGCACTAAGCCACTGCCTGCCGCAGATCTGCACCAAATGATCATGATGTAATCTCAGAATTCCGCCGTGACAGACACCCGTGGACACAAAATCAAAAGCTGCACACTCCGGGGTTCATGGACTCCAAGTCAACGTATTCTCATCCTGGAATTAAGCACCACAGTATCTACTGTATTTTACCGGTTATACGTCAACCTTTTGTGACCTAATCCGAACCGGGTGGGGGGTAGTCCACTTACAACCGGAGTATAACCGCCATTGAACCGGGAAGTCGAAACCTCAAGTATGGGTCAACTTATGATTGGTAGAATATGATGTCGTTCCCAGTAATGTGCCCTCTCAACATAGCTTGGTCGTACTGTGCTTTCCCTCTCCAGCTCCTCGTCCTGCGCAGGCAAGCCACCCTGAAGGAGCAGACAGCCTGCAAACGCCCGCGGGGATTCAAACAACACAGTCCCGCTGCGCTAACTCTTCGTCGCTGAGTGCACGGTCTACTGGTGTTAAAGGTGTTCTTTGGTTTCGCTTGAATCCCTGATTATGACTCGAAACCCTTGTTGACACGGTGTGAGATCACCAGCTGGCTTCTTTCTTAGAACACACAAACATGCATCGTCCTGCACCGGTATTTGTCAGCACAGTGGGGCGCTGATGTCCTGATCCACTGCATTGTAGCGCCGGTTATTCTCGGCTTGTGTCGCATGGTTTTTCTAAACGAACACATGTCATGCTCTTTCTAGGTATGTACATGATTATATTTACCTTTCAACTCCCTAAATCCTTTCTTCTTGAATGAAGTCTAGATTTCATTCGCTTGAAAGTAAGAGGATTGTGAATCCAGAAACTGTAATCTGGTAATGGAATATGCCGTGCCCGGTTGCTTCTTTTCATCTCAGCTCTTCACATTCAATGATCCCTATGCCCGTTTGACTTACATGTACTTCAATACGCCCTTTCAGAGATGCACACATAAATCCCCGTGTAAGGTTGTATCCCTGGTGATGTCTGTACCAGGACTAAGCAGGAGACAATATCCTAATGATATGCTATTATAGCAAAATCCGCTAGAGAAGCAACGTACCCAGAAATGTGAACAGATCTTCGACATCTGAATGACCTTCTTGAAGTACCCAGAGTCAGAATGATGTTACGTACGCAGTCGGTTGCACGCAGAGTGCAGTTGCAATGACACCCTGCTGAGACTATCTGCTAGCGTAACACAATGTACTTCAATATGGAGCAATACGCCTGTGGATGCCACGGACAAATGTATTAGAACAGGGCGCTGGCAACACAAGCAGTCTCTATTCTGCCTGTATTCACCTGACAAAAAGGCAACAACATACTTGTGGAAGCGTTTCCTGGACTAAAGAAGCAGACAGGCTGCACATGTACGTTGCATACTCGGATCAGTACAGACATTCAACTTCGACATCTGTCACTGCATTTCCAACAAGTTGAAAAATATTATAGAATTCCTCCTCTGGGGTATGTTAGAGTTCGAAACACTCTCAAAAGATCAGTAAAGAAACAGTTTGTGGCAATATTAGAAAAGAAATAAGATTCTTCGAGAGCAGCGTAACCTAGAGAAGATTTGAGTTTATTTCGTTTCAGTATAAGCACCTATAAATGATGTTAGAGAGACGACACCACTGTGCAAGACCAGGTTCATCCATCACTCTGAAGTACCAATTTAAAAAGGAGCGTAAAATTCGCAGCGAGGTCGAAGCTGCGACGGAATGCCAGCCAGAAAGCAGTTTTCTTTCCTCGGCGTTCAAAACTGGAAATGTCCCGACATTTCCAGCAAGAAAATGGTCGCCGTGGAGTGGAGCCACGATCATCTAAAATACGACCACGTTCCTGAATCAACTGAACCTATGGCGGAGAAATCAAACAAATCACAATGCCCAGCCATCACAATCCCAGGCGAGGGCCCGGCACAGGGCAGTTTTGTAAGCCAGCAAATGATGCGCTCTGCCGCAACCCTGCACGAAATGAGTCAACCAAACACGTACGCACAATTTTCCGTCCGATGTTTCATTGTCACACAGTCGACTGTACCTAGTGCGAAGGCTCTATCGGCGAGGTGAGAAGGAGTGACAGCATGCTAGCACTGTCACTGCTGACACGTTTTGACGTAGTCCACCCTACAGAACTAGGCATAGTTATCGGGGTCCTCAGGTGCGTACGTCACGATGACCGGGTCCCGGCGACCTTCAACCTGCACACTCTCACAGCCGGGCGGCCGCACCTCGATCGACCAGTCGTCACGGAACAGATACGACTGGAGCTTGTAGCGTCCGCGCGTCATGTTCATCATCACACCGCCAAACTCGATCTTGGGCAGCGGCTCCTTAAGCAGACTTTTGGGAAAGCGATGGTGGTAGCGGTAGTTGACGAAGAATATGTAGGACTCCAAGCCATGCCGATACATCCACTCGCCACCGTACGTGTTGTAATAGGGGAAGATATCCACGGACATTCCGTCCCGCCTCAGCTTGTAGAGGCCACCATACTGCTCGTAGTGAATTGTAACACCCTCCTTTCGGAACGCCTCCCGCAGTTGCGACAGGGAGTAGCGATCGATGGTTGCGCCAACAACGCCCATGTCGACATCCAGATCCCACGGCACCGGACCGCGGTATCGCAGTGCACCGAACAGCGTGCCGTACGTCAGGAACGACGTGATGCTGAGCTTGTCGAACGTCCGGTACGTCCTGTGTGCCAGGTCCGCCATGCTGTCCAGCTCCTTTTGGGGACGCTGGCATTCCAGCTTGCTCAACTTCAGGTCCATCTTGGCCGGCCATTGCGAGTACCATCGCAGGCCGCGACGATTCAAGTACCAGTATATTATTACAGTGATCAACAGTAAGCACGTCACAACCATCCAGCGACGAGTCGCCAAAGCGATCTTGCTCTTTCTCATCGCCGCACCTCCGTCACCAGTCCGACACCGCATACAAAACCGTGGCAGTCTCATCAATTTTCGAAATACTTCCGCCGCACTATGTAGCGAGCGACGCGCACCACCCTGCACCTTCCGCCAATATGTTTGCGACGCTGTCAGTCGGCTGCAGGCCTTCAGCAGAAGTGAAATTTTGAACTGTAGCCTAGCGTGTTGGAGGAAGGACTATCCTGCTAGCGGGCAATCGCTGGGTCAGTCACCTGGCTCTGAGCTCGGTCTCACTCTTGCTCGTGCAAAGACGTGCAGTCTCGTTGAGCACAGGGGGTGCGGAGGAGAACTGCAACACGTTGAGGACCGAAATGCGCTGCTATGCCTCGCTGTTTTGTTGATACTCCTTGGCCAAGAACATCTGATCTCGAACAAACACGGGCGTTCAACATCCGCCTAGTCGAAAGGTAGTCGCTGATTTGGTTTCGTTCTCCGTGGTCGCCATGCAATGGTAACATTTACAATTTTTGTTACACACACGTAAAATTTAATCTTGCTCGAACGATGCACACCATGTACCACCACCACCACGCATGTACCATGCCAGGTAGTACTAAAACGCCGGTTTTTATGGGCACACGTACATATGTGGCATGTATCCGAATACCGGCAACATGCCACGATGACTGATGTACATGACTCTACAGTATACCTACCAGTGCATGGCTTGTTGTCGAAGACGTACATAATCAGTGCAGGTCTACAAGTACAAGCACAAGTCATTTTACGTAGATCTGATTAGATCTAGACACGCTGTGCTAGACTTACGAGCAGAATAGACCCTTTGTACAATAAGCGAGAGGGGTCGAGACGGGGCATGCTGTGCACGCGCTGCACACTTGGCATGCAACCAGCATGCATGGTTTGCTGCAGGACGTGATCAAGTTTCCTGTGACAGGCTGTGTTTTCACGGTCCTGACGCGATGTTCATGTATGTACTTCCCAGCCTTTTTCATTTGAAGTTTTTTTAGTTCTGAAGGAAGAAGTTCCCGGAAATGCTTTCCAAGGACCACTGTTGGGTTCTTGTTTGCAGCAACCGTCATCCCTAGTGGCTAGTCTAAGAAACCCACTCGTCTTTCCATGCGTTCCCTGGTGATGCTGGCATTCCACACTCTGCAATCCTGGCTATCTGGCGAGAAGAGGGCCGCAGTGCTGCGATATCGTTCACAGTGTTGTGCTCGGAACACTTTGTCGATGACGACTTTCATCCTTGCTTTTGCGAAGACGCTGAATGCCCTGCCAAGAGACTCTGGAGCCTGAGAAAAAGGCATGACCCATCCCTGTCTTTGCAAGGAAGATCGACTGCTTGCTGGCGCTGCTCGAGCTGCTGATGTTGAAGTGCAGAGCGACGCAGCCTCATCGCTCAGGTGTGCGGAGAAAGTCATCTGAGTTCGAGCTGTGGCTGTGTGCACGATATGACAGACTTTCACATTATGCACATAGCCACCAAAGTAAAACTCATGGACACTATCCACGGGCCTCTTCACTAGTACTACTCCATCAGCTCCCTAGCCCTCTTCACTGTCGTCGGCGACTTGCCCCTGCGTTGGAGATGAGCACGCATGGTGTGGCACTCACTCTGGGAAACAGAAGTTCATCACTCATCCACTCGGACGCATGACAAAGTTGGGCATGATGAAGGTACACTCGAGGAAGACTGGTGCCCCTCTTAGTTCTAGGAGCATCAGGGTTCTGCATTGAGAAGCGTTCTCTACATCGACAGAGGAGAGAAGGTAGAGAAAATATAAATAAATTTCAATCTACAGTAATCCGAAATATCCACTGACTGCGGAAAACTTACCGCTCCAATAACTCCTTCTTTTTCGAGACAGATACGCACCCTCATTCAGCAGAAAACTGTTCAGTTCCTTCACAGACCATTCTTTATTTGACAGCTCCTCCACGGGTTCCACAGCCATCGATGGCAAACTACTCGACACTCTCTCCTCCATCTCCAAAATGGGAAAATACAGTGTTTCACCATGCCCAACAACTGATACTCTGCACAAAAATCGAAGAGGATGCCCCGTCTCGGATCACGTGACCGTTATTGTGCAAAGGGTCTATACTACAGTAGTAATAATGTCTCAAGTATTAGTACTTTAGAAGTAACTGTATGTTCTGGAATATTCCCAGCTTGTGGTGAATCTTGCATGACCTTTCATTGTACTCAGGTTTCATTTCTTTTATTCTAGTGCATGCTGCTGGCGCCTGATGTATTGACGTTACCGCAGGCCAGTCTCAACCTTTGCATTGTCTGAGATTCAAGTAGCGTATCGTTTGATACATGTGCTGTCTCCATGCTATCTAGTCGTAATATATTCACTCGTCTTTGCATTTGTGCACAGTCCTGTGGATACTCGCAGGCTGCGGTTGCGCTCTCGCTTTGGTCATTCTAGAATGTATACTTCCATGCCTTTGAAGTTTTTTAGTTGTCAGTTTTGAACTGTAGGAAGCAGTTTACAGTTTTTGTTCTTGCAGTTTTATCTCAGAGGAGAAAGTTCTTGGTCTCATACTGTTACGAGTTGCTGTTGTATCTGGTTGAACGCATGCCGGGGCAACAGAGGGCAGCATGAGTAGCCATAGTGGTCCTATTCGAGCCGGATCTCAGAGCCAGATCCAAGAAGTCCTGCGCGACGACGAGCAAGTCCCAGGCGCTGAGTGTAGACGGAGCTCGCGGTCTACCAAAGGGAGACCGCCGAGCAGATACGGGTTTGATAACTGGAGTGACGTTCCGGACAGCGTGAGCTCTGCAGGACATGCGCCCTCGAAAGTTTCAGGAACTGCTGCGTCGCAGGCGTCACTTCGTGCAGAGATGCTTCGTGTAGAACTTGAGGCTGCAAGGCAAATCGCTGAGCTGGAGGAGGAAGCCGAGACACGCAAGTTGGCTCGTGAGACAAGTTTGGTGCAGAAGGAACTGGAGGTTCGAAGAGCCGAGGCTGAATCTGCAGCTGCACTACGATCCGGGTCAGGGAGCAAAGTGTCGTCTCGCAAATCAGAGACTGGAAACGCTGCATCCAGTGGCAGGGCAATATTGACTGCCAAGAGTCTTGCTGAGCACGACAAGTTGGCCGGACCTGGTCGAAAATTCGAATTACCACCGCGTGAGCACTTCAGAACGATGAGTGATGTCGGTGGAGTGAACGGACAACGCGACCACGGCAAGCCAAGGAGTTTGCAAGGTACGTTTCGTACTGTGAATGCGCCCACACAACCTGAGGCTGTATTAGGTGTGGCGGAAGACAGCCCAGCTCAGTCAAGTACATGTAGTGTCAATGCGTTTGGCGTGCCTGCCCTGGGGCCAGTGGCGCAAGCATTCATGCGCGCGCCCGCTCAAAAGTCTGTGACCAGTACAGTGCTGTCAGTAGTGCCAGCCAAGAAGTCAATGGCCAGTGGTGCGCCTGTGGCTGTAGGACGTACTACAGTGTCCATACAGGCAGCTAGTAATGCAGTGCCTGTACAGCCAGCAATACGCAGTGCAGCAGTACAATCAAGACTGCCTGGCAGTAACAAGAAGGCAGTATCAATGCTGAATGCAACACCACCATGGCATACACCACAGAAGCATACAGCAGTGGCCAAACAGCAGCAACCAACACCAGTGGCAGTGCAAGAACACTCCAAGCAGGTGCTAAACCCGCAAGCAGAGTCCTTCATGCCCTATCCACCTCAACTGCAGACACTACACCCTGCTAGTTTCAGCTTTCACGTGAAGCCATTGGAGCTACCAAAGTTCTCTGGCAAGACTAGTGACTACGACCGGTGGAAGCAGAACTTTCGCCGCGTTGTTGACGAAGATCCACTAACGACTGAAGCGTACAAACTTGCACAACTGCGTGAGTGTCTCATGCATGGCACGGCCAGCGACCTTGTTGATGGCGTGCTTGACGGTCCAGGAGCCTACCACACCATCCTTAGGGAGCTAGATGCATGGTATGGCGGCGACAATCGCACTGTTGAGCGCCAAGAGAAGGAGATTTTGCAGTGGCCGAAGCTAAAAGAGTCAGACGACAACTTTGCCAAGTTTGTCCTCAGACTCCGGACGATGCTCATGAATATGGAGATGTGTGCAGTAACACCGGGCCGTGAGTTGTACCTATCGGTTACGCAGAAGTTGCCGAAATCGCTGTTGCTTAGGTACATGGAGAAGTATGACGATGCTGACTGTGATATTTACCAGCTAACACAGTGGCTCCTCAGACGCGTCAACACACTACGCCGTGCCGATGAACGACTCCGGTCGACAGAAGTCACTGCCTCAGCACCAGCACCAGCAAGATCATGGTCGAAGCAGAGTGCTACAAAGTCTGAACGAACATTTGTGGCAACTAGCAAGGATGCAGGTGCCGACAGAAGCTGCCCCTCGTGTGGCAAGGCGCATCAGCTCCACTGCTGCCCCGATTTCATTAAGATGGAGGTCAGGGACCGATGGAAAGTCATCAAGTCCAAGCCAGATGTCTGCGCCCTATGCTTCGGTCTCAATCATCGCGCAAAGACTTGTACCAGGCAACCCTGTTCAAAGTGCAGCCGCACGCATCATGACATGCTACACTACAACATCCGACGCTCGGATTCCGCTGCAGACCCATCAAATGCCGCAATCAAGGCCAACGCAGCTTCGGCCAGCAGTGGCGGTCCTGCCAAGATTGCTACAACACATTGCGCAAGTCATCAGCCAGAGATTGACAGTGGCGAGTCATTCATGGTTGTGCCTGTTGTATTCCGACACAATGGTGTGAGCCTCCAAGGTAATGCACTCCTGGACCCAGCATCGTCCACGAGTTATGTCCAGCAGTCCGTGGCAACAGCCCTCAATGTGCGTGGACCCAAGCGGCAGCTCGTCACTTCCGGAGTAGGCGGCAAGCAGACCGCAGCAAGACGTGAGCATGTACAGATCCAAGTGGCGGCTCTGGGCGACAAGACCATGAACAAGCTTGAAGCTTGGGTTCTGCCCACCGTCACCGTGCCATTACCGGCAGTGAACTGGAATCAGCACAAGAGCAGCTGGCCGCATCTCAGTGATATTGACTTCCCATCCATCAAGGGCAGTCAGATCGACGCGCTTATCGGCCTGAATGCCATCGAGCTTCATGCTACTCTAGAAGAACGGCGAGCAGAAACAGCAAGAGCGCCCATTGCTCGACGAACTCCTCTCGGGTGGGTGTGCATTGGTACAGGAGTCGACACCACTCGTGCAATCACAGCTACTACACCAGCTACTGACACAGTGCTAACTGATGGGCTGACCGAGCTAGTAGAGAAGTTCTGGCGAGATGAGTCGGCGGGCACAGATAACCCACTAGAGGAGACGCCTTCACCCGATGACAGAAGAGCCGAGGAGCTCACGAGCCAATCAATCAGCTGCAACGGCAACCGGGTAACTGTCCGAATCCCATGGGTCAATGACAGCGGTAAGCCACGTGTCAGGTCCAACAGAGCTCAGGCTGAGCAGCGGCTCCGCAGTCTACAACGCTCGCTACAGTCAAGGCCAGCCGTGAAGCAGCAGTACTCTGACGTTATGCAGAAACACATTGCCACGGGTTACGTGAGACGCGTGGACCCGGATGAGATAGCCAAAGACGGCAACGACCAGTGGTACCTACCCCATTTCCCGGTAGTACGCTCAGATAAATCCACGTCAAAAGTGAGAATAGTATTTGACGGTGCAGCCCGCTGGGATGGACACTCCATCAACGATGAGATGTTTACAGGTCCTGCACTTCAAAACGACATGACCAGTGTGTTGATCCGATTCTCACTGGAACCAGTTGCGCTTGTTGGTGATGTGTCGGAGATGTTCCTCCAAGTCAAACTGGCGGAACGTGACCAGCGCTATCATCGCTTTCTGTGGTATGATGACAATGGCCAAGTGCAGGTGTATCAGTTCACCCGTGTGCTCTTCGGCGCTAAGGCGTCACCGTATCTGGCAGGACGAGCGGTGAAAGAGGTCATCAAGCACCACGGTGATGAGTACGACTCTGACGTCGTGCAGTGCCTAAGCAAAGACCTCTACGTTGACGACATGCTGTCATCACTACCATCCACACAGCGTGCCATCCAGGCCAGAGAGCAAACGCAGCAGCTACTTGCCAAGGGCGGTTTTCACATGCGAAAATGGCTGTCGAACAAAGCTGAAGTGATGAACACCATACCAGAGGAAGATAGGTCACCTGATGTCGTCCGAGATGTGGACAGTGACACCAGCCTCCCAACTGTCAAGACTCTCGGCGTCAGTTGGAACGCCGAGAAGGATGCCTTCACCTTCCAGCATCAAATGAAGGACATCACGACATTCACCCGACGCTCTGTGTTGCGCGGCCTGGCCTCCATATTCGATCCGCGTGGCCTGATCTCGCCATACGTCATCACGGCTAAGGTACTCCTGCAGGATGCCTGGTTGCTGGGACAGGGATGGGACGACCTGCTGCCAAAGGAACAAGTCGTCAAGTGGCAGGGTTGGTTCCAAGGCCTCCCAGACCTGAGTAACCTGGAGATCAGCCGCTGTTTCAAGGATCCACAACAGCCATCCGAAGACGCCAGTCTTTCCGTGCACTGCTTCTCCGACGCCTCAGATCGGGCGATAGCAGCCGCTGTGTATGTCAGAGCCAGCTACCCAGACGGTACCACCCGAATAACGCTAGCGATGTCGAAAGCGAAGCCGGCACCAGTGAGGCGACAGACGATCCCGCAGCTTGAACTGAGAGCAGCTGTGCTTGGCGTTCGCGTTAGTCATCTCGTCGCTGAATCCATCGGTATCCCAGTGTCAGCTCACACATTTTGGACGGACTCGATGAACGTCTTGGGCTGGGTCCAAAGCCACAGCCGGCGCTACAAAGTGGACATTGGCAACCGAATCTCTGAGCTCCAGACCTCAACGAGAGCACACCAGTGGCGACATGTTCCCGGAAAGAACAACCCTGCAGACAAAGGTACTCGTGGTTTGTCTGCTGCATTACTGTGCCGTGATGCAGTGTGGTGGTCCGGTCCACAGTTTCTTCGCCAGCAGCCAGATGAGTGGCCTCAGATGAAGGAAGTCAGCACATCCTCGCTGCCTGGTCAGCTCAAGACGGCGCTAGTTGCAGTCGTCCCTCCACCCTCCGAGATCCTGGGTCGCTTTAGCACATGGTCACGACTGGTACGCGTGACAGCATGGTGCAAGCGATTTGTGGCAAACTGTCGGCAGGCAGTCAGTGACAGCAAGTCCGCGAAGGGGGATGCCGCATCGGACAGCCAGTCGTCCAGCACGCCAGTGAGAGTGCCAGTACAGCTTGGCGGCACCCGCTCCATCAGTGTTCCAGTTCTCAGCACTGACGAAGTATCAGTAGCAGAGCGGCACTGGATTGCAACTGCCCAGAAGGATTGCCATGGTACAGCATACCATCGTCTACAGTCTAGGCAACCGATGTTGAAATCGGATCCTCTGGCACCTCTCTGTCCCCAGTTCGATAGTGCAACAGAGTCACCCCTGATGACGGTAGGAGGTCGATTGCAAGCTACAAAGAACATGCCAAGTGGCGTACGCCACCCAGTCATCCTACCAGCAAAGCACCGAGTAACCCAGCTGATAATCGAACAGGAAGATCATCGGTGCTTCCATGCAGTTGGGCCACAGCATCTTCTGGCCAATCTGCGACAACGCTACTGGATTGTTCACGGAACATCAACAGTCAAGGTCGTTCGAAGCAACTGCGTCACTTGCCGTAAGAACCGTGCGGAGCCAGCGTCCCAGATGATGGGCCAGATTCCAGACTTCCGAGTTGCAGGCTCGTTGAAACCGTTCAGCCGTACAGGAGTTGATTACGCGGGTCCCTTCCTGACCAAGCAGGGCCGAGGTAAGACGCAGGCTAAGCGGTACCTGTGCCTGTTCACATGCCTTGAGACTCGTGCCTGTCACCTAGAGGTATCCTATGGCCTCTCCACTGAGTCATTCCTGTTAGCATTTGAGAGATTCACAAAGCGCCGTGGTGTCCCGCTTGAAATGGTCAGCGACAACGGGACCAACTTCACTGCCGCGGAGCGAGAACTCCGTGAGGCCGTCCGGGCCATGGACAAGGAGAAGATCGAGAAGCGACTGGTCAGTGATGGCGTGCGATGGCGCTTCAACCCACCTAGAGCACCACATTTCGGCGGCGTATTCGAATCCCTCATCAAGACGGCTAAGCGCGGACTCACAGCAGTACTTGGGAAAGCGGACGTCACAGATGAAGAGTTAGTGACTGCCATGTGCCAGGTTGAGGGCATGATGAACTCGCGCCCGCTGACAGTTGTAAGTGCCGATGCAGCTGATTTGCAGCCTCTAACACCAGCACATTTCCTAGTCGGACGACTCGACCCACCAATGGCTCTGGAAGTGAAAGCAGACGAGCACCCCAGCAGAGACCCACGCAAACGTTGGTTGTATGTTCAGCGGCTTGTAGCAGACGTGTGGAACAGGTGGCGAGATGAGTATGTTCCCTTGTTGAATGTCCGTCGTAAGTGGCAACGTCAAGGTCGCAATGTAGCCGTAGGTGACATCATGCTGTGTCTTACATCAAACACTCCCCGTGGAACATGGCCCATGGGTAGAGTCACAGCAGTGCATCCTGGTGCAGACAAGCTCGTCCGAGTAGTGGATATTAAGATCGGCGACAAGATCTACCGACGGTCTATCCACCATCTAGTACCTATTCTGGACACCGAGTAGTTTGTGCCTTGTGTATCTGAAGTGCTACAGGCAGCCCTGTGACAGTACTCTCTCTCTCTCTCTCTCTCTCTCTCTCTCTCTCTCTCTCTCTCTCAACCTATGAAGTTTTTCTTTCATCATACAGTACCGTAGTAGTACTCACTCGTCACAGTTTGTTTGCTGACCCTGTGCTCGTGAGTGAAGGGGGATATGTTCTGGAATATTCCCAGCTTGTGGTGAATCTTGCATGACCTTTCATTGTACTCAGGTTTCATTTCTTTTATTCTAGTGCATGCTGCTGGCGCCTGATGTATTGACTATTGTTACCGCAGGCCAGTCTCAACCTTTGCATTGTCTGAGATTCAAGTAGCGTATCGTTTGATACATGTGCTGTCTCCATGCTATCTAGTCGTAATATATTCACTCGTCTTTGCATTTGTGCACAGTCCTGTGGATACTCGCAGGCTGCGGTTGCGCTCTCGCTTTGGTCATTCTAGAATGTATACTTCCATGCCTTTGAAGTTTTTTAGTTGTCAGTTTTGAACTGTAGGAAGCAGTTTACAGTTTTTGTTCTTGCAGTTTTATCTCAGAGGAGAAAGTTCTTGGTCTCATACTGTTACGAGTTGCTGTTGTATCTGGTTGAACGCATGCCGGGGCAACAGAGGGCAGCATGAGTAGCCACTGTAATTAGTTCTTTTTTCTTGGCTCTAGTGCGCCGGTCTCATTTCGAAAAACAGTCATAATTATTTTAGAAGTTTCGTGGCAAGTAGGAGCTCACCCTATTTTCAGGTTGGCCGAACAGCAACAGACACTATAATTATCTATGATATGCTGGTACCGCATGATTGTATTCACATAGCAAGATGCATACTTGCAGAACAAGAATGCAAGAGTGCAACTCCAAATTAATACCCGGTATTGCGGTAATTGATGTATTGTGCCTTCTGTTCATGTGTGTGCGTGTGTGTGTGTGGTGTATGTGCGTGTGTGTGTGTGTGTGTGTTTGTGTGTGTCTACGTGTGTGGTGTGACTCAGGGGGCGGGCAATAAGTAAGCCCTGCCAGGCCTAGGCCCGGCTAGGCCCGGCTAGGCTAGGCTAGGGTGAAACGTGATTCTCACGTACATGTACATATGAACGCCAAGAACTGAACCGGAGGTGGCGGGCCTGATGCTAACTGCATGGGAGGTACTAGTACTACTAGTACTACTAGTACTAGTAGCCATGTAGTGGTGCTTTTCAGTGCCGCCCAGTTTCGCAACAACTGCCTTGATCTTGACATGACCTGTACAGTCTAGTAGTAGTACTAGTAGTAGTGCTGAGTATTATAACCCAATACTAGTTCAAAACTAGTATTACTATTAGATAAACCTTGTTATACTACTACTACTAGTAGTTCACGCATATTGTTAGATTGACAGCATGAAACAAGGTGGAGTAGTCGAACACAGTGTCCTCCCCCTTGTTACATGCTGTCAATCTAACAGTAGACTACAACAGACTCAGTACAAGTACTGTACTGAGTCTGTGTACATCACGAATTCACGATCTGTGACCTTGGTGACAGTACTCCTACTATGTCAGTAGTGTAGCAGTCCTGATGCTGGTACTGATACCATGGATACAGAGATAGTTACGACCTCTTGACTTGTCTTCCCACGGACCGCGCGGTGTTGGATAGCGTTGGATCATGGATAGCCTTATCAGCTGTGCACGTGAACATCGGGGGTATACTCACGAGTCATAGCAAGAGTATACTACTAGTACTAGTACTACTACTACAGTACTAGTAATTATAACAAGTAGTTATAACCTTGGGGGCTTATTATACTCTTGCTCAATGCTCATAGTACTACATGTAGTACTATTTAATATGATCATACTGACAGTCTGTCATAGCTCATCCCCTATGCATAGCCATAGCCTCAGCAGTCACTGAGTCAGCAGTCAGCATAGGGTTCATGAGCTGAGCTTGCAACGGAGATACATGACTGTTATACAGTGTGTTTGTGTTGTCTACCTGACTACTTTACATCATATCACCAGTTGAGAACTAACTAACTTGAGATGCTTTGGCGAAGTGTTTTATTAAAATAATTTAATATAATCCGGCTACACTAGCTTCATACACTGACTACACTGACTCACGCTGCATACATGTACATCAGGATTATGACACATCATGTCTCCATACAGTACGTCTGGTTGTCATTGCTTGCCACCATGCCGCACAAACGCTTGAGAACCCGTTTCGTTTCTGGCGACGTACATGTACATGTACATCCGGTCCTGGCCCTGAGAAGGTGAGCATGAGGGGAGTGAAGGTCCCACGATCGACATGTTTCATGCACTCAGCGCATTCCAACTTCTTTCTCCGTTCATGTTCGAGGCGAATGGCGTCAACTGTCTTGTTTATATGACGTAGCGTCCGGATGGAAAACTCGAACATCCACAAACGCGTCCGGACTAGTCGACTGGGCCCTAGTTAGGCCTTTCCGGATTATGCGTTTGCATATTTTTGCATTTTGGGGGTCAAAATGCATTTTGTCCATTTTGACCCACTTTGGGCCAGGGAGTCTTAAAGTACCGGTATTTTACGACTCCCTGCACGCGCTAGATACTTCACGATCGCCGGCCGCGCCATTGAATGATCACCATGGTGCCAAATGTCACGCGACTAGCTGTCGCCATTTTGTTACCATGGCAACGGTGGCATTTTTTGTGCTTTTTGGGTAAAATGTTGCATTTTCTTTAAAAAAAATTGATTTATAGGGGTTTTTCAAAACACTTTCCATTTCCATTTTAGACCAGGAAAAAACGCATAATCCGGAAAGGCCTAGCCCTAGTCCAGAAACCTCGCACTTTTACGTCACCCTTTGCGTCATCCGCAACATTCGTGCTGGCTAGCTGCTCGGAACACCGGAGCAAGCGGAGGCTCAGCCACCCTTGCACACGTCAGTAAGCAGATCGGCTACCAGATCCCTTTCTTCATTATGGCGGACGAAATACATGTAGGGGTGAGACATCCTGCAGCTTCATAACAGAAAGAGGAATGGTAAGCACACATGCTCTTTCTCTGGACACTGCAAATAATTAATTCACAGGGTACAATAGTTATTGTATTCTGATGATGGCAATTTTCCGGACCATCGACATGATACAGTGAACTGAGTTGCTTATACTTGAAGTAGTGGGAATTAGAGGCCACATGCCTCGTACTGCTCTTTTCTCTCCGAAACTCAACACTTGCTCTAATAGTAATAGGTTTTTCATTTGACCCGACGAGACCATACGACGCTTGCAGACCACAGCACGAACAGTTCACCAGCCACACTGCACGAAAGCAAGTAGTATTACTCCTGACAAGTCTTGTTTCGTTCCATGAAGTTGACGGGGAACTCATCAGAGGAGAAGCAGTTGTTGAATGAAGGGGTTAAGCTAAATAATGCTATTTTATAGAGAAGATACCGGCGCGAGGTCTAAACACTCAATTAACTCACATATGTGACAAATCAACACAAAAGGAATAATGCAAAATGGAGGTGTTATGAACCCTACCAAACACAACAGTCACGAGTGCTAAATCAATCACAATGAGAAGGAGAGGTACACAGGAATAGGTTGCGCTAATTTACACGTCACAAAGAGTACTGAGGTGGTGACAAACATAGGTGAAAAGTAGACGCCAAGTGAAACCAACAAATCATCACGGACGTCTAACGTCACATCTTTCAAGACCTGTACTGACGTCAGATCAGTGCCTGTACTGACGTCAGATCAGTGTCGTGCAATTATGTTATCGCATAAGCTGATTGTTTAGTAACTGGTGGTATTAGTGGATATTATAGCGTAACCATGGTAACTACATGTAACTCCTTATTGTTGGATTGACAGCATGAAACAAGGTGGAGGACACTGTGTTCGGAAACAGTGACCTTACTACAGCCTTCCGCGGTTGGCAGAGCCCCGGTCCCTGCGGACCATCTGAACCATAATGCCATATTAATGGGTGTCGCACCCGGTTCTGACCCTCATTATGCTAGGGGGGGTAGGAGACTACTCCTGACGTCCGTCTTGTATTCTTCGCTTTTTTTCTTTATGTCGTCCTGGTGGTCATGCGGTCACTGAAACCTCAACTTGTATAAAAAACTTATTTTTCTTCCAACTTCTGCCCATGGCGTCCTTCTCTCAGCTCGTCAGCTGTCCACAGTTTTTTGTCATCAGTGACTCATCACCATGACACTGTCGCGAGAAGGTGCTCTCTGTAGACGGGGTTGGTGATGTCCCGACGTGGCCATGGGTAGGCCTTCACCACGTCGGAACACCCCGGCTACACGTTGGTTACCTCCACTAGTCAACTTGTTTGTTGTTGATGTTGTCACGTTAACTAGTATGTATGTACATGTATGTATGTATAACTCATAATCACAAGGTGATCGTAGAGGCATTACTTAGCGAGAGAATTGTGAATGATGTCTCTGAATCCAACTCTATCGTGTGCTGCATGAGAGAGAGCATGCAAGGGAAGACCCGTCCAACTTTTAATGTTAGAAATCCATGATGTCGCGGGCCTTCCTCTCGGTCGAGATCCAGGAGTTGATCCTCGCAGGAAGGGCTTGGAGAAAACGTCATGTCTCGTAACATGGCCAAACCACATCAACTTAAATTTCTTGACTTCGTTCGCTAGCCGCATCCTTGCTCCGATGATGTCATTGATTTCTTCCAGGATAGATTGGTTGGTACGCCGGTCGTGGTATGTTACTCCTAAGAGTCGGCGGAAGCATTTCATCTCGAAGGATGAAATTCTTCTCATTGATGAGGCAGATAATGTCCAAGATTGGCATCCGTATAAAACAATCGCTAGCACAATAGACCCAACAAAACGAAATTTAGTAGGCAAAGAAAGTGATGGCGATTTCCAAATGAATTGAAGCTCAATGATCTTTTGCTTCCCTAGTGCTAAGCGTCTTCTTCTCTCCACATCGGACCTGCCATCCGAAGTGATTACGGCACCTAAGTATTTAAACTGGGATACCTCTTCTATTCGCTCATTGCCTACTTGAATGCACCCCAGATCACCACCGCCCTCCGGCGCTGCCCTTGACTTGGTCTTGGAAGCATTGATCTGCGTGCCTAGTCTTGTTGCACTCGTATCCACGCGCTCGGTCAGGTCCATCATCAACAGTTTAATTTAGTACTAGTAATATTATTACTAGTACTGGTCAAGAAAACTTGAATTTAACCTACAAACTTGAGAAACTGCTTCAATTTTGCTACACGTTGGTTACCTTCATCAGTACCGCTGAGAACTATTTTAAAACTCGTGTATGTTATTGATGTTGTCACGTAAACTTGTACTGCTGAAAAAACTGCAAACCTAAAAGGACCGGGGCTCTGCCAACCGCGGAAGGTTGTAGGTCACTGTTTCCGAACACAGTGTCCTCCACCTTGTTTCATGCTGTCAATCTAACAATTATTATGTTATTATTATGAACAGTTTCGCGTACTTGAGGACCAGCCTCTTTCCGCCTCTGTGTTCCTGAGCAATAGAAGGAGAGAGACAAAACTATACTATTATGATGATGACAAGGGAAGACATGGACTGCAAGGTACGGTTTACAAATCGACAATAAGCAAATAGCACTGAGAAGGATGGGCAACTTCTGTTTCGTCAGTGTTTACTGTGCGTTTTTTTACGAAGGCCTTCCACACTTGCCTGTCGGATGCCTTCTGCCGGAGGCTCTGCAGATGCGGGCTCCTCTTGAGTGGCGTTTGTCTGTGGACGCAGTCTTGCTGGATCTGGGTGACTAAAGTAGTCAGAGGTCTTCCTGGTTTGGCTGTGTTCGGTGGATTGAAGTAGAGTGCCATGGCTTGTTGCGGTGGTGTGTCTTCGGGTAGGCGTAGGACATGTCCCAGCATGGACATTCTTCGTCTGTGGACTTCCTCGGAGATGGGCTGGCTCTGACATCTCCGGTATAACTCGATGTTTGTGATACGATTGGGGTAATGTATGCCCAGTAGCGAGCGAAGCTGTTGCCTGTGGAACACGTCCAGCTTGTCACTGACTGCCTTTGTTGATCCCCACGTACAGCAATTGTACAATAGGGTCGGCAGAACATATGCGTTGTAGAGGCGAACTCTGCGAGCTTCTGAGACATGCTCCCTCCGCAGCCACAGAGTGTACATGTTCTTGAAGGCAATCGTTGCCCGCTGCTTTCGCCTTTGGATGTCTTCGTTAGTTGCCATGAGTGATCCCAGCTGCTTTACTGTTTTCCAATTTTCTGTTGTTGACGATACTGTGACCCATTCCGTCTTCTGGGTGTTTACGTACAGCGACCAGGATTCAAGGACCTTCGCAATGATCGGCAGTGCAGCTCGTAACCAGTCTAGACTTGTGCTGTAGTAGTTGACATCGTCAGCATACCTGCTCTCATGGGGTAGTAGTCTATCGCAATCTAACAATAATATGCGTAAACTATAACAAAGTTTGCATGTATCTAATACTACTACTAGTACTCTAACTACTAGTTTTCAACTAGTACATGACTGTATTGGGTTATTATACTACCATGTATAACTACATACATGAATGATGACAGATGTACATGTACATGTAGTTCCTTGGTCCTTTTTCTTTACTGTTTGCGTTATTGGTTATGCAGAGCTCACTGACTTGTCAGTTTGAGCACTCTGGCAAGGTACGTTCGGGCCTGATTGGAAATTTTTATTTCCATTGCTATTAGGTTCGGCCTCATTTCCTCTGTGCTGCGCTGACGAGTCCACAAAGGACGAAACAGTTCTGTCCGCAGATTGAGTATTTCGCTCCTGCTCTTGTAGCAGTTGAGCACTCTTGCGTGGGGTAGTGCCTTTGCTGTTTGCGTTATGCAGAGCTCACTGACTTGTCAGTTTGAGCACTCTGGCAAGGTACGTTCGGGCCTGATTGGAAATTTTTATTTCCATTGCTATTAGGTTCGGCCTCATTTCCTCTGTGCTGCGCTGACGAGTCCACAAAGGACGAAACAGTTCTGTCCGCAGATTGAGTATTTCGCTCCTGCTCTTGTAGCAGTTGAGCACTCTTGCGTGGGGTAGTGCCTTTGCTGTTTGCGTTATGCAGAGCTCACTGACTTGTCAGTTTGAGCACTCTGGCAAGGTACGTTCGGGCCTGATTGGAAATTTTTATTTCCATTGCTATTCTAGTATTAGGTTCGGCCTCATTTCCTCTGTGCTGCGCTGACGAGTCCACAAAGGACGAAACAGTTCTGTCCGCAGATTGAGTCCTTTTTCTTTAAAAATATTACAGCTACACGTACACACTACACTGCCTACATGTACAGCACAGGGCCTAGGCTATGGCACATGCACAGCTAGCTAGCCAGGGTTGAAATGTCTTTTTTCGCCAAAAATATACCGATATCTGATCCATAGCACCCATGTGTATGTGCATGTGTTCGATCGCCGCCGGCGCGCCGCCTAGTGTCGTGAAGCCTCTTGTTATGTACGTGTACGTGTAGTGCCTAGTGCAAGTGAGTACGAGTAGTGGTGACCGTGCACTGAATTAAAAAAAAAATTTTATGAAGTGGAATAGTCTTCAAACTAGTATTACATATAGGCGCATGATCTGATGTCCAACTTCCAAGCGATACAGTTTGGCCTTAGTAGTAACTAACTTTCGGGTTCTGTATGATGAGGATGCTCCCAACCGTGCAGTCATTGTTGCTGTGAAACTCTAGCTCTTCAGAGAGCGAATCCCGATAATCAGGATATGGCCACAGAAACAACATGCAATGGCGATCGAAGCAAACCCAGCACCACAAATAGTGTCAGCTCGGGCGAAGACGACGGTAACGGAGACATAGTATGGGCACTGCACGAAAACGGTTGCGTATTCTGCCGGCCAGTGTCGACCATGGGCTTCGCGCAGCGTGCCCAGTGGATGAGAACGACCGCTGAGATGGAGACGCGTCACGTGGTGGCCGACAGCAGCGGAACGACGTGGGCGCTATTTGTCGACGGGTCTCTGAACCGGCGTGTAGACATCAGCACGGAGTGTCCAGAGGGCAGCGAATGGCAGTTGGTAGATTACAGAATGGATCTGATCGACGTTAGCTTCGCGCCTGGTAGCGTGTGGGCGATAAGCAAGACGCACGGCATTTTATTTCGACCCAGTATGGACGATGATGAGAGCTGGGAGAACGTTGACGCACCTGACAATGTGGACAGGTCTTCGCTGAGAACGCTGAGCGTTTCACGGAGTGGGGTGCCGTACCTGTTGACAACGTCCGGAGGTATGTATTGCCGGGTCGGCGTGACAACTGAGTGTCGTTATGGCGATGGTTGGAGTGAAATCGAACGGCCGCCGGTCGTCAATCAGGGCATGTGGGGTCTACTCGGGTACACGGAGAAGCCACGGGCACTGGTAGCGGCGGACAAGTGCATCTGGTGTGCCGTCGGCAGCAAGGGAAAAACAGAGCTCTGGCGCAGGCAGGTTGGTGATGCGCCGTCGGCATGGGAACAGACACGAGTGTCACGTCACGGAGTGGCTAGCGTATCGTGCTCTCAGGTCGGAGTGCACGCCGGAGCGCTGTGGGCGGTGGACGACCGCGGCTGCCTGGCCTTCTGCCCGAATGCTAGCGTGCGGGAGGCAGCCGCCTTGGAGTGGGTGGATTTGGACTCATCCGACGGCTGGAAGCAGGTATCGCTACTCGCCAGCAAAGACTGGCTGCAGTTTGAGCAACGGCAGCAGCTTAACCATTGCGTGGAGAGGGGAGAGTCGGACACTGAGGCGATAGAACAAACAGGATTGAATGGCACCCAGCAGAAGGTAATTCTTGCACATCTATTCCAACCCTGGCTTGAGGCGATATGCACGTGACATGATACGTTTAGGGCTGTAGCAAAGGTCGTTAAAGGGGTGAAGTATCCCGATTCAAGCGAAAGTTGAAAAACCAGTGACCAGATGAGTGCGCTGTACATGTACTTTCCAGGAACAATTAATACAGTTGTGCTCGCTGAAATCCGGCCCAAAGTGTATTATGGCGGCCTCAACTTGCACGGCCCTTGACACCCTGGAAGTGGTATGAATGCGGCTGGACGTACACATGTACAAATACAGTGATGTAATCGGAACTGGTCCAGGGCGTCAGTTTAGCTTTGGGTCGGATTTCAGTGAGCCCAACTGTATTAATTTTGTAAATGGACAAATTTGAAAATTAGAGACAGGCACATCACAAAAAAATTGACTCGATTGTCTCACAGCTTATCACTAGTTATCAGCCTTATCCAGAGGGTGTTGGTTGGGCACAATGTCCCAGTGGGTATCTTCTGGGTTCTGATCCCGATCATTAAGGTGAAGAATGTCCCATTTCTGGCCCTTCTGCAGAAGTCACCGCAGACGTCGAGACGAAAACGACAGCCAAGACGGCCGCCAGGCACAACGGATTCTGACTTGGACAGCATCACGAGCCCAGCGGCGTCCAGAAAACGCCGGCACTCGGACAGTGATCGTGGCGGCAGTGTCGTGCACGGATCTCAGAAATACGTACGACGCTCGGGTATGGTTATTGGCATTCGGAATATTTTTTTAAAGCTTCTCGTGTGTGTGGGGGGGGGGGGGGTGGGTGGTGGCAGCTACTTCTGTAGCCTGTGCAATCTCACCGGCATGCTCAGCCCCGATTAGATGGCTTGCGCCTTTTGTAGCCATGTAGGATCAGCTACTTTGTAGGATTGGCGGTGTATGGCACTACCTGAGTTTCATGGTTTGTGATTTGGTGTCTTTTGAACTAGGTAGTTCTCTGATGAATTCTTCATTTGCTTGCCGTATTGCACAATGTTGTTGAGACCCGGAAATAGGGGCAAGGAACAAGGGGAACGTTGTCGTGCACGGTAGCTGATACTAACGTAGTAACCAGTCATGCTGTAGCTTTGTTGTACTCTCTCCATGACTGAAAGTATCAAGGCCGTCACAGCCGGGGTGGCTGAGGCCGCCCCACTTTTGCAGCCAATTTATTTGGAGCACACTGCAACGAAGCATGTTGATTGCAGCTCAGCGCAAACGTGGCGAATAATGAATCCTTGTCCCCGATCGTAGTGTCTCCTTTGTTTGTTGCAGAATCAAAAAGTCTTTCATTCAAGTTACACTGAAATGGCACCAAATTCCCAGAAATGCTTGTATTGCAACTGGCTTCAATTTTGGGGGTTTTCCCGGGGAAGGCCCCCCCCCCCCCCCCTTCCATGGCCTCCCCACCTCCAAAGTGCGACATGCCTGAATATGATGTGTGATGTAGCAAAGCCTTACCTGCCCATGTTGCAATGCAATATTCAAGGACACGTGAGCTTGCCCGCACGTATGTGTGTGTGTGTTTGTGTATGCACATGGGTGTGTGTTTTATGTTGTTGCAGTGAGTGCTGCGCCTATTTGTGTGTATTGCTGACAAGTACGCATGAATGTACATGACTGTATATGCTACGTATTGTGTGTTTATCACTGCTGTGTTGCGCATAACTAGGTGATGTTACAGTCGGTCTGAAGCTGCCAATCCCACCCGGTCCCGAGCTGATGGTGAGTGCAGGGACTGTGCAAATGTTCAGGGAGGCTTTATATCCAGGAATGCATTGAGTAAAGACTAACATAATATGCATGGGCTAGACTTTGCCGTAGCATGAACACATACCTCCATTGGCGAGTCTTGCACATCCCCGGTGTGTTGGTTTCGCCTGGTGCTATACACATGCAAGGGCTGTGCTCTCCCACGTTTCAGCTGCCCTGTTTTGAAGGCATACGTTAAGAAGGTTGGTACTCTGCCGCTTGCTCTACACTGCGTGAAGTGTTTGTTTGTATTTTGTAGTGATCTCTAGCCTCATCCTACATTAGGTCAACCATCAGTACAGGTGGAATCCTGATAATTCGAACCTCAAAATGCCAGGAAAAACGTCTAATTATCCGACATTCTAATCATCCAAACATGAACCCACAGCACAATATGTATGTCAAAATGCTCTCATGGTCACGCAGAGTTGCGTTATGGACCTTAGACACAGATTTCACGGACACTGAACTGACCGGCACAGCCTGCTCATGCAAACTGAACTGACCAGTACAATGTACAGTGAACTTCCAATTACACTTTGCTAACTTCGAATTATCAGCACAAATCCCACACATTTTCTATGTAAGTGGAATCTGTGGGACTTCTAATTAACCGGACATATCCAGTTCGAGGTTCGAATTATCATAATTTTTTATGTGGGAATCGTTTTGATAGAAATCGGTCTTGGAAAAACTTCTAATTAAGCGGTATGTTCGAATTAAGCCATTATTCGAATTATCAGGATTCCACCTGTACTATGTAAGCCTCTTACTGTGTGCTTATGGTATATCCTTTTCTTGCACAGACCAAACTGCCAACCAACGACAAAGCGGACTTTATGCGAGAGGTAGGCTTGCTAACGTTACCAATTATTACATTCTACTTGCAGAGGCAATATCAAACACATACTTCTCTGGAGAGTACTGTAAAACGAGTTGTTTCAGCAGGGGAATCTTTGGCAATTCCCAAACTGGCCTGATTTGGGGACGACACAGTAGCGACCAGTCTCATGGCATCAGGAAAAAACAGTCTGTTCACTAATCCGAGGAACAACGATTCTCATTTGGCAAGGCTAAAATTTAGTGAAAACTCCATTAAACTCCATTCGCAAGAATCAAAAAATAATTATGGTCTCGCTAAAGTTACTCATTGTAACGTATTAAGCGTGTGTCACATGACCTGTATGATCATCTATATAAGCAGTAAGAATGCAACAGGATCGTATGTGACAGGTGACTATTTTCAATAAGAATTGACCCTGCATGTACAAATAATAATTTTCCAGGTATCATTGTATCCCACATGGTTAAAGGGGAAGTTCACCCTAAAATGAAAACTTCACAATTCGTAGCGAAAAATGCACTGATTCCAATGGTGAAGGTTCCAGGTTGATCACAGCAGCCGTTCCCGAGTTATACCAGCTTGAAGTTTGCCCTCAATTTGGTGACATCATGATGACGTTATTAACTTGCCCAGACTAGGCCGGATTTATGACGTCAGAGAGATAGACTTTGTATGGGAGTAGATGGGGAAAAACCAATTTCCTTCCTGTTTCTCTGCAACAATGAATTTCACACTAGAATTTTTTCCCAGTCGGGATACCGGTAGGGTGCCATATGTCCCATGCCGAAGTTTGACAAACATCCGTCTTCTTTGGGACAATGGAAAGCCAAAATACTGGAATTTCCCCATCTACTCCCATACAAAGACTATCTCTCTGACGTCATAAATCCGGCCTGGTCTGGGACTCTGGGCAAGTTAGTGATGTCATCATGGTGTCACCAAATTTAGTGCAAATTTCAAGCTGGTATAACTCGGGAACGGCTGCTCCGATCAACCTCGGACCTTCACCATTGGAATCAGTGCATTTTTCGCTACAGGTTGTGAAATTTTCATTTTAGGGTGAACTTCCCCTTTATAAGGGATTTACATTTATACCGTTTACACATACATCACCCAATATAGCTCAATTTGCAGATGTGCACCTAAGCGATAGAGGTGAAAGGACTGGATTCATGCCGAATTGCATTATGTGCTGAACCCAATTTATTACATCCATGTACCCCTCGTCACGGTCATGTCACAAGTTTCCAATTGGCTGCGAGTTGCAGCAATCTTGCCTGTATCCTGGTGTACTGTCTGCAGGGAAGTCCAGTATGGCTATGTGTGCCACACCCTAACCTGGCCTACCCATAGAATACTCTGTACATACTCATCTTTGGAAAACTTCAAGGGTGATGGGTGAAGAGGGTAACCACAGTGACTCACACACGCCCCCCCCCCCCCCCCCCCCGCCACACACACACACACACATGCATTGTACACTATGGGTAAGTATTGTGAGCTGTTTCGGCATGATCATCATTTGTTTCACTGTCGAATTGTCCGGAATCATTCCTTCGGAATTCACGGCTGTCCTGGAGGCAGGGTAGGCTACCAGACACCATATTCGATGTGTCTCAAAGGCCCTCGGTGTATATTAAACCTGTCGTGGAAATATCTAAAAAGAACTCCACACACTCCTCTGTATCGTTAGTCTTTCATATGTGTGCTTTCCACCTGTGCAGTTTGAATACACATTTGAGCTCGAGGCAAACATCATAGCAGCTCTTGAGGACAGTGCGCCTAGCTAATGGAAAACTCATCGCTTGTTGGATCCCAGGTCAACTGCGGATTTCACAGGACAAGACGGTAGCTTCATCACCCACTGCCGGTTTGCTTTGACCACCACTAGCCACTACAGTGTACATGCGGCTGAGGAACATTGCTGCATGCACACACTGAGTTGCAAATTACTTGCAAAAGCGCTTGATACCACGAGTAAGGAGCCAAATGACACAATTGTGCCACGGAACACGGCTAGTTTTGTTGTTACTACCGATAAGAGTCCATGGCTGTTCGGCCAGTCTTCGGACAACACACTTGCACTTTCATGAGTGCAACATCTTGGTTAAATTACTGTGTGTACTTCAACACAAAGGCACACAATGAAAACCTTGGCAAATTTATAAATTTGCCAAGGTTTTCATTGTGTGCCTTTGTGTACGCCGCTCTGCCTGAATCAGGCATTGAGCACTCTTGCAGAACCAAAGCATATTGCCTCTGTGTGTGTACTTCAAGTAGTTGTAAGTAACTGTTCAGCTCATCAGGATTCTCCAGAATGGATATTGCAAAATGGAGTCGCGAGTCGTGTCCCCGCATCCTCATTGTTACGTACTATATCGCAGATCGATTACTATATCTTCTTTATTATTTTGTTATGTTGTCAGCCGAGCGCACACTTCCACCACTGCCGAGTTTCTTGACCGACCCAGAACGAGGGTCACGCTTGTCTATTATTACTTTGAATAAAGTTGACAGTCTACGTGTGCATGGCCAACCTTATCATCTCACACCTACACCATGCCGCTGGATCTACAATGCTGGCAACTGAAATCCGACCCCCTGGGCGGCGCGTTCACTTTCTAGCGGCCTCTATTTCGGGTCTTTGCGATGTGAGCGCACCGCTCAGGGGATCGGATTTCAGTTACCAGAACTGTATGTTCTCTATTACTGTAGATACGAGAACGTGGATAACCCAACTGTCAGCATAGTACACCCCCTCCACACGCAAACACACACTCTTTGCTGCTGTGACCTCTGCCACAGACTGAAGAATATCTTTTGTCTTACGCCTTTTAAAACGGTACTACCCAAGATGCTCAGCTGGAGTGTATGTTTATTTTTCCTTTTTTTAAATTGCACAGTGGTTTGAATTCTGCCGCAATATGATTCTCACAGACATACAAACCATGGTATGAGTGGCTCACGATTATGTGTGTGTGTGTGGGGGGGGGGGGGGGGGGGAGAGGAGAGAGAGACAGACAGACAGACACAGAGAGATAAAGACAGGAAGAGAGAGACACGCAGAAATGGACCGTATGCGTGTTAAAACAAAATGGCGTCACGATTTATTGAAAGTGGTATAGTTGGTGGAACGAGTGTTCAAACCCATTTGAACTTCATACTGTTCGTCTTCATTTTGACATGCTCTCTTTCCATCGTCCTTAGCTTTTGTTTGTTGAGAGCTGTTTTGGCTTTCTCCTATACCTCTGGGGGATGCCAAGTGATGGTTTTGAGAGGCTGGTGATGGCTGTGAGCGAGAGTTTGCCGATCGGCGTCGTCCTCGCTATAGCGATGAAAATACTAGTTACTGCGCACCTGGCAGATATCACAACACGTCGGAGCGTCCAGGAGCAAAGGAATCTTGGGTTTTCACTGGAATCTAGTTCCTCCAGCATCGTGTAGCCCACCGTCGGTGAATGGCGGTCCAGAAAGGTCGAACCTGGTCTTCTGCAGCATCTCGCAGTCCTGCGAGGCACACTGAATACGCCTGTCATGTATTCTACAAATAAAAATCACGAAGTTGTGGACTTTACAGTGATGAGTCTATCCTGTATGCTGCAAAAGACGCAGGAAATGTGACTGGTGTCCGTACACTGGACGCCAATATCATCCCAGTCTTCTCCTGCAGGATCTGTTTGACATTGACATACCGGTATGCAGTGCGTCGACATTGGCCTGGTTTGGCAGCTATCTGCCTGGGTGGATGTAGCAGGTTTGCATTGGCGCGTCGTCCAGTCCGACATTTTCTTGTAACTGTGGAGTACCGGCAGGGTCTGAGAGGTTGCTCGTGCTGTGAACACATCTCTACTGCCTGTCTCGTCCTGGAAGTGCCGTCTCGCCGCTTCCTTGCTCTACAGTCACGCCGTTATTTCGCTTTGTTTCGTGGTGCAGCTCAAAACCTGCCCAAACAACTGTGAGCTCGCAACATGGTATGGACAAATTGCACCACTCATGCTGGTTAACTAAAACCGGGATAGTCGAGTAAGCGAGTTCACTCCCTGGGCCATGGCAAGATCTGTTCAGCGCGGGCTATTCCAACCTCCAAGTGCATAGTCACCGATCGATCCATGCGATGGTGGTTGACCTACAAAGAGCCAAGGTCTACGAGTACTACTATTGGATGCTGTCTACATGCAGTCAACAAAATCAAAGTACCTCAGTATGCCCCAGAACAGGGCATGTGCATCTATAGCATGACACAACAGGGGTTCTGGCGGCACCTGTCAAACAAGCAGTAGCGACTAGTGCCAGCTACCTATTGGAGGCTAGCCGCTACAGTCTGTCACTGGAGATAATTATTATGTTCACTGTTTAGGCTGAGCACAATCAATGATGCCCAATCAATCTGCCCAATGTGTGTTCTGTTCCACCTAATTATAACGTCCCATCGCATCAACCCTACTACACGCACATGTCGTCACTCTAGCACGACTTGTGTTATTATTGTTTATTTTGATTCGCACGATAAATAGAGCACAATAAACGTTAACTTGACCGAAGGTTAAAGGCGACTGCAGATAGAGGAACACATCGAGGTACAGGTGCCGGCATCAATACAGTATCAGAGAGGTACGCAGAAAAAACTCTCGTAAGCCCAAGGGGAAGTGGTTGATGAGGGATGAATGCACTCTCCACGTTCGTCTACACTGTTCGTGGAAATGCACACATACATCCAATAATATACAACATAGCAATAGCATGCACAGAACCGAACAATTTCATGTTCACACATGCAGACCAGGCAGGCACAGTGGGTTGGTCAAAGACCATGATTGAGATACGAGAGGTACCTGGTTCAAGTCCTGCCTGGGAGCGGTTTTTCCAGCCGTGCTGCTACCCACAGTCAACTGGGAACTTGTGGCCAGGCACAAGGGGTACATGGATGCAGCTAATGGGGTCGTTTTCGGCACTTGTGCCAGTGGTTGTGAGACTTGCCCACTCACCCCCACCGTTAGGCGCTGCATCTGCCGCTAGGGTTTATCGGGTGTTAGCGGCCGTCGTGAGTTCCCTTCGGGAACGGATACGATAATTTACTTTTTTTTTCATGCAAGCACAGACCTGAACATTAGTACCAAAAGCCGATACAGACAATATCCCCATACACACAGACGCACACACACACAATGTCCCATGTATGCGCCCGTGGCGAGAAAAGCACGCAGATCTAAAAATGCACTGGATGTGAACCCACAGATTTTCTCTAATAGCAATGATAGCGGATCTGATTCTGAATGAAACACACACACAATACAATTATTGAATGCCCATCCGCAGATGATGGCAGGTCCTGAAAGAACAGGCAGTGTTCCAGTGATGGGGAACAGAACTTCGAGTGGCGAGTGAGGTATACACACACACGTGCGTGCGCGGGCACACACCAAAGTATGAAGAAATAGAATCGACATCGTAGTATTCATTGGTTGGGGAATGGAAAGGAAAATAAAACATTGCTGTAGGTTATTGTTGTAAGGACACTGGGAGCACAACAGAAAGGTAAGCAACTTGCTTTGAAGCAAAGAAAGTTATTATTCCACGGATCTCAGAAGGAAGGAACGTTCCAGAATGCTGCACTGGCAACAGGCGGCCTGCATGTGCGCGGCCCCTGCAGTCGGTCCAGCTGCCGGCCTTGCAGTGCTGAAAAGAACGTGCAGTACAGCATGTCACATAGTATCGCAGCCTGGACAAATAGACGCTGGGAAGTCCTAGTTATGTGCTCACCTACACCACGATGCACCAATCTTCTGAGCTACTTTGGCAACAATTTTGTCCACTTGAGACTCCCATGGGCTGAGCCAGTTGTTGAGGGCTGCATCAAGGTGGACGGCAATGACCGCTGATGGCAAGGCAATCCATGACACACAGTCACTAGGGCATCGTCAACATGGCGCTGAGGCTGGATGAATAAAATCAACCTTTAGGCTGCCGCGGGATTGACAACGAGGCCGCTGTCTCGAAGCTAGTCAGTCAGCCTGGTCACCGCCATTGACGAACCAGTCGCCACCGCCAGCAGTGGCGGTAGGTTGTGACAAGTATGGTGCAATATTGTCAGCAAATTCAGTACTCAGGATAAGATGAGTGACAAAGGGAACGTTGTGTTTGATAAAATTGAAGTGAACAGGGATGATCACAAACCCTGCGCGTACTCCACCGTGAGTTACAAGAAAATTCCGGACTGGACGACGAGCAAACACCAACCTGCTACATCCAACCAGGCAGATACTATAACGATAGCTGCCAAACCAGGTCAATGCCGACCTACTGCATAATGTCAATGTCAAACAGATCCTGCAGGAGAAGACTGGGGTGTTGGCGTCCAGTCACTGAGTGTACAGACACCAGTCACATTTCCTGCGTCTTTTGCAGCATACAGGATAGACTCATCACTGTAAAGTTCACAACTTCGTGATTTTTATTTGTAGAATACATGACAGGCGTATTCAGTGTGCCTCGCAGGACTGCGAGATGCTGCAGAAGACCAGGTTCGACCTTTCTGGACCGCCATTCACCGACGGTGGGCTACACGATGCTGGAGGAACTAGATTCCAGTGAAAACCCAAGATTCCTTTGCTCCTGGACGCTCCGACGTGTTGTGATATCTGCCAGGTGCGCAGTAACTAGTATTTTCATCGCTATAGCGAGGACGACGCCGATCGGCAAACTCTCGCTCACAGCCATCACCAGCCTCTCAAAGCCATCACTTGGCATCCCCCAGAGGTATAGGAGAAAGCCAAAACAGCTCTCAACAAATAAAAGCTAAGGACGATGGAAAGGGAGCATGTCAAAAAGAAGACGAACAGTATGAAGTTCAAATGGGTTTGAACCAGGGAGTCGTAAAAGCCCGGGAGAGGACACGGCACACATTCCCAGAAAACATCTTTGCCTCGCGCTGCCGGGGAACGCTGCCAGGGAACGGTGTTGCGAGGCAAGGAAATAATTATTATTTTCGAAAATTGTGATGTCTTCTTGAAATACTAATTGGGACATTCTCCGATTTCTCTTAGAGCACGGAGACGATTGCTCCGTCGAGTCTTCTGATCTCTATTTTCATCCTCAATTCTTCCAGCTGCCTCACTCATTCTCTCTCAGTTTATCGAAGTTAATTTATTCTGAGGCGATGGAAATGCAAGATAAATCCCTAATTGTACTTCAATTTTATTTGAGTTGGGGTGAACGAAATGAGATTTGTGGAAAATGACGGCTCTTCCCGTGTTAGCCGCTGGTCGTATCGTACAGCCCATATTCCATTGCAGGTGATGGGCGAACGTTCGTGTTGAGATCCGCTGAGCTTCCTCGTACTCGTGGAGTTGAATTTGTGGCAGAAATTGCACTGAATTGCAGTCAAATGGTTGTGAATCGGAAACGAGATTTGTGGAAAATGACGCCACTTCCCGTGTTAGCCGCTGGTCGTATCATACAGCCTATATTCCATTGCAGTTGATGGGCGAAATTTGTTGTGGAGATCCGCTGAGCTTCCTCGTACTCGTGGAGTTGAATTTGTGGCAGAAATTGCACTGAAATTGCAGCCAAATGGTTGTGAATGAAACGAGATTTGTGGAAAATGAAGCCACTTCCCGTGTTAGCCGCTGGTCGTATCATACAGACCATATTCCATTGCAGGTGATGGGCGAACGTTCGTGTTGAGATCCGCTGAGCTTCCTCGTACTCGTGGAGTTGAATTTGTGGCAGAAATTGCACTGAATTGCAGTCAAATGGTTGTGAATCGGAAACGAGATTTGTGGAAAATGACGCCACTTCCTGTGTTAGCCGCTGGTCGTATCATACAGCCCATATTCCATTGCAGTTGATGGGCGAAAGTTGTTGTGGAGATCCGCTGAGCTTCCTCGTACTCGTGGAGTTGAATTTGTGGCAGAAATTGCACTGAAATTGCAGCCAAATGGTTGTGAATGAAACGAGATTTGTGGAAAATGAAGCCACTTCCCGTGTTAGCCGCTGGTCGTATCATACAGCCCATATTCCATTGCAGGTGATGGGCGAAAGTTCTTGTGGAGATCCGCTGAGCTTCCTCGTACTCGTGGAGTTATGAATTTGTGTCAGAAATTGCACTGAAATTGCAGTCGAGTGGACTTCTGTGCGTGTGTTGTGAGTGAATCGCAACGGCTCCCTTCCTTCAGCATCGTCAAAACGCAACATAGAGCATTATTACGCACTCGTTCCATGATTCATGATATTGCCTGGATTCTTTTAAAAACAATCAATGTGTGTTCCCAATCTATCTACATTGTATATGGTTGCAGGTCGTTATTTATAAATCTTAAATTTCAACACTTTTCTACTCGTATACTGAGTACGCGGTGACTTTAGCCGTTTAGGAAACGGAAAGCTCAGCCTCCAGGTTGGCCAGAAAGGTTCTCAGTGAATCTAACCGAAGTCTTGGCGAGTGTACAAAAGGTGAACATTTCTACTTCATAACGGAATTGTGCACAAAATGCGCGGACACGCACGCACACACACAAACACTGTACAAACACACACAAAAGTACAAGCACATGACTGTGCACATACACACGCCTCCCCCCCCCCCACACACACACACTCAACTCCCCACCCCCTGTACCATGTGTACTGAGTCTGACAGACAGACACACAATCATGTTTATGCTTCCTTCGCCACCAGTTTCGGATATGGTGTCAACAACGAGTTGTAAAATATTGGTATTTTAGGACTCCCTGCCCTGAAGACGAGCACAGCGCCGTGGATCGAGCAGATCCGGCCGCGCCGGCCTAGCGTGCTTCACTTTCTGGCCGAGGCAAACATCGTCCGCGTGCGCGCATCCCGTGTCCTCTCCCGGGCTTTTACGACTCCCTGGTTTGAACACTCGTTCCACCAACTATACCACTTTCAATACCGTATTATCTCTAATATAAGCACGGTCCTTTATTTTTTCGATGTACCTCCGCCCCGTGCTATTATTGGAGACGGTCCTTTATTGGAGACTGTTCCATTATTATTTCAACCTCATTTCAGAGGCTTGTTGCTATGCCAAATTCATGTATGACACACACATTTCAGGGTTTTTTCGCCGGTACAGATAATGAATTTACACAGTGTGCTTATAATGGAGACTGAGCACTTTATTTTTTGAATGCCGCCCCAAGGTGTTCTATTATTGGAGACGTGCTACAGTAAGATCGGGCGCCGAAGAACACCTCGCCGAAGAACACCCAGGCTGGAAAACCGGCAAAATTTAAGAACAGTCCAGGCTAGAATTATCAGATTTAAGAACACTAGATCTGCATTGTACGTAGATCTACATTGTACATGTGCATGTATGGGAGGTGAGTACATGTCATGTACACGTGTAAACAGTAACTGCTTCATGACACGTACAGTCATTCCCATTTACGACACCCACCAGTTGCAGGCTGCAACCACACTAGGTACAAAATCACGAAGTACTACGTTGCACTACATGTACATGTACATGTACATGACAAACGTCATGACGTCACTCGACTCGCCGCGCGCGTGTGAATATTATCAGAATAAGGGGTCGTCCATAAATATCGAACTTTTTTCACAAAACGAAATAATTTCGTTATGGGGAGGGAGGGGGTTGACCAATTTCGTTTCAGAAAACATTGATGCAAGTACATATACATGGCCATAGGAGCAGTTACACACTTGCAACTTTTGTTGTATTATGCATGCATAAGTCAAACCTTTTTTACGTTCTGAGGGGGAGGGAGGGAGGGGTTGGGTCTAAACTAAAATAATTCGTTTGGTGAAAAACGTTCGATAATTACGGACGGCCCCTAAGAACGGTCTGGCTAGAATCAAAAATTTAACCCTTTGAGCACGCATGACGTATTAATACGTCACGTACAGTGTCACTGCACCCACGCATGACGTATTATTACGTCGTGAGTGTACATAGCGTACAAACGCGATTTGCATGAACCGCGTGAGTTCAAACTATCGTAACTCGGTCAATTCTTGGCCGATTCTCACGATCGAAATATGTATCTGCAAGAGAAAACTCTCAGCTTGCGATAGAAACAATCGCCGAAGCGATACGACCCCGGGTTGTTGAGATATGCGACTAGACTCGACACGGCAAATTCAAATCGATTTTTTTGCGAACTCTGCAGAACGCTTATTTTCCATTTTCGATCATTTTCGCGCTCTCTGCTGCCATGGAAACTAGATTCAAATGATGGCAGCGGATCTGGGGAGTCCTCAAAAAAATTTGAGCTCGATACGAGCAAGGAGAGTGAAATGGCAGCTGAGGATTTTATCTCCTGGCCGTGCTCAAGTCTGTCGAGCGCGTGCGTGAAGTTTGCCAGACTGTAGCATGGGCTTTTGGTGTCGCTCCGAGCTGAGCTTGGAACTATTTTCTTCCTCGCCTCAAGACCTTTGCAGGAAGCTCAAGATCGTGGAATTCGTCCAAAGAAAGGTAAAGTTATCGATCCTTGAACAGCTACTACTTTCATAGGAAAAACGCGATTTTTGCAGGTGTTGGCGTGGGGCGGCATTCAGGTAGCATCGTGCTCAAAAGGTTAAGAACGTAGGTGTAGGCTGCGCTCGAGCCCCTGCGTTCTTCGGCGCCCGATCTTACTGTATTATTGGAGACTGTGCTTATATTAGAGATAATACGGTAAATCGTGACGCCATTTTGTTTTAACATGAATATCGGGATTACAATAGTGTGCCAGCGTTAATCTCAGGCGTAGACCGCAGTGAAGATGTTGAAACCTCGCACCCCATTTCCCTCACACGCGGATACACAGTCAGACGCCCCCTCCCCCCCCCCCCCCCCACACACACACATGTACTAGATTCATGGTGAGCTTAAGTCACTCAGAGGTATAGTGACGTTTGTTCATGGCTGGGTTATACTAGCATATAAGGCATGAACACGACTACATGTATGTGTTTTATAAATAATTTATGATAATGCACACATAAACTCAAAATAATTATTTCGGTATGATTCTCAAACTGTACTTCGACTTCAAATTCGGCTTGTACTGAAAACAATAACTATTTATTTTACACTGATTATCACTAAGTCGATTGACAGGCCTACATCCCATGCCGAATACTAGTAAATGCAACGTATAAGTCAGCTACGTGCATGAAGAGAATCAACTGTGCATTCATTACCGAAGACACGGAGCAGAGCAAAACTGTTCGGCAGCTCCAGATACACGTTATTTTGACATGGTTGCAGAGTTACTATTCGGAGTGCAATGCATTGTTGAGACAGCGTATACCAGTATTTACCAGTACCAGTATTTACCAGTATATCTCCAAATACCCACCGAGGACACAGTAATTTTAATAGCAGCTAGCAGTGAAGAATGTAAAGGGCTTTTTAAATTTGACAAACCGATGCATACTCTGCTGGGCTCTCGGTTGGTCGCCCCATCAACATAGACTAAAAAAAAGGAGAGGTATAAAAATTGCCCTAGCACTCCAAATGAGAGCCTATCTCAATGTTTTCGAAAGCCACGCAACAACTCTAAATGTCTAGTGTTAAATGAAGAATGTTACAAGAAAACGCTCTGGGACAAAACATTTGCTCCTTTGTTCTTTGACATGAGCGCGGGTTTACTTTCGTTCATAGCTGAATATAATTATACTGCTCAAGTTTCATGGACTAGACCAAGACTGTATCAATGCTTCAACTCCTCAGCAGATCCCTAGTGTTAGCATGGAAAGTCTGATGAATGTTTTTAGACCAATTGCGCTGAGCTACTCGTCTGGCTCTCGGCACTGGTTGTATCGCTTGGTTGACTGTCTTTTGAGTAGCTACTGTCACGTTTACTGCTACTTCCGTCACAACTGTCTCCGTCCGCGTTCTTCGTGTACGTCATGCCATAAGCCTTGTTTCTGTAGCCAGTCTCGGGGAATGTGAGATGCTGCCCATCATCGCCGAGAAACACATCGGGTGTAACCGCTCGCTGCATATCCGGCCCGGCAGTCTCCTCGGTTAGCGCTGTTGTGGATGAGACACTGTGAGGGGAGGCTCGTCCACGCGGGGCTGGGTTTGCACGCCGTACTACCGTAGTTGTGGCCACCGTCGATACCCTCTTCTGTCTGCACGCCCTCTGTACTACAGCAAGTGATAGTACAAGCAGAAATCCTCCACAGCAGGCAGCAGTGATGATGACCCACGCAGGAGTCCCTGAAAGAAAAAAACGACAGACAAAATCATTTCATGTGTTAAGACAAATTTTCAGTTCTTGGTTATGTTGGTGGACAGTTTGTCATAACTCGTAACATGTTGTCCTTCTTCTTTTTCAGTTCTTTACACTGCATTTCCCGAAATACGCCATTATCATCTGCAGATTTGCCATGGGAAATGTGTTGTCATGACAACCAGAAAACGGTATTGTGTTCATCTAGGAGTCCAAGAGAGCAAGATATTTGGGTTTATAAACAAACAAGCCTTGTCCAGAAAAACGTTTTATGATTTAAAATACACATATGGGCAGCTCCTAGAATAGTGAATGTTGCTTCGACGTGACTGTTGTCCTCCACCGCATGGAGTTTGACAAATGGACCCATTGACCAAGCCGCACTAAAACTTCTGCCATACCTGTTCCCTGCTCTGCAGTGCCAGTGTCACACCAGACAATGACATCATCACTGTGCGAGCACTGCGCCTGTCCGTAGCGCAGCGTGCAGAAGCGTAGCGCCTCCTCAGTGCCAACGCAGTCGACATGCTCCACCCAGACGCGTCCCATGTCGATCAGACTCACGTTTTCCACTAACATTGGCATGGCCTGCGTGTATGAAAGAGATTGGAGGCCAAGACGCACACACACACACATGCAACTCAAAGTCAAAAATCACGCAAAATCATGAAGAAAATGTTCCGTATCATATAGTTCCAAAGTACGCTGCAGAGTTTTGAGGATGCATGGTAAAGTTCACCACTGGCTGGTGAAATCTGATCACTAACGTGCTTTTGGTGCACCGAGACAATCAGTTGGTGATACATTGCAGCTATGGCACCCACCTTAGTTCAGGCTTCCACTATGCAACTCGTGATATGTCCGAGAGAGAGAGAGAGAGAGAGAGAGAGAGAGAGATAGATCGGATTTCATTGGTCACGTGCACCCTGTGATTCTTCACAGCTGTCGTCCCATGCATGCTCTTCATTGAGCTATCTCCCATTCTCTCTTCTTTCTCATTATTTTCTCACCAGCTCTCCTTCCCTGAAATCAATAACATATTTGCTGCCTTGTCATTGAGCATTTGCACTGGTTGCGTTGGATTTGCGAATTTAAATAGAGTAATTATACAAACAAACAACACCTCACCTTGGCTTTGTCGACTTTGAAATCCTTCACACCATTGTAGCCCAGCTGACGGCAGAGCACTGTAGCGGACGCCTGGTTCCACGCCCATGAGCATATGGTACCCCATGAGCCCGAGTGGTAGATTTGAACGCAACCGAAATTCTCTGTACGACCTCCCAACAGTCTTACATCACCTGGATGCACAGAACGTGGGGAAAGTTTGGTGATCAAGCTGGGGCAGAATGTTTCCATGGTCAAAGCATTTCAATCTTCTGAGGCTCTACCACCAAGAACAAGGTAGATGACAAGACGTTGAGGCGAAATGACTACACTCAACTGTGCGAATATTGACCCTCGGTCATACATGTGAAAAGTGCTGTTATCCGTGAGTTGTCGCTATTCGTGAGTTGTCGCTATTCGTGAGTTGTCGCTATTCGTGAGTTGTCGCTATCCGTGAGTTGTCGCTATTCGTGAGTTTGCAAGGATGCAGTCTAATGGTTGCTGGGTCAAAGATGTGCATTATTGATCAGTTGCTGGTATACCTTGACTTCGTTATGACAAGTTTGACCGTGGTGTGAATGCCATAATTTTGCTGATCAATTGCTGAACATGCAATTCATGAAAGAAGAACTCCTGATGTTAACGTGTTTCATCAGTCTTTGGTGTTTGTCGTCACAAAATTTGCTTTGGTTAATCGGTTCAGTGTGAAGGCTATCTGCCCAAGCATTTCGGTCAGTAAACAGCAAAGTAGTGCATTCCTCATTTTTGGAATGCACCACTTTGCATCATTGCTGCATGCTGTGCCGAGGACCCCTCGGCGGTTAAAATTGAGACCGGCGGTGGAGATTAAGTCAGGTTTGACTGTATAACAACACAACACATTGGTAGCGGAAACACCAACCTTCTCGTGTCATGGCGGCTTGGCAGGAGAGCCCCACGTCCTCGTCATGCCCGCAGTTCTGATCTCCCCATTGCTGATCCGCGGTGGACATACACTGCTGTAGACTAGCCTCGCTGCCAGAGCATTGCAGATCGTCCATCCAGATGGGTCCCGAACCCATCCATCGGTGGTCACTAGCAGCTGAAAGCACAGCGCAAAAGAAATAGAACATAATGCCACATGCAAAGCCGTGTCTGGTTTGTGGTAATGTAGCTCAAAAATGGAGATGACAGCTTGGGCTTTCTTAGCTTATACCATCAGACTTTTAAGCATCACTTTTCAAAGTGTTGCTGCTGCTGCTGTTGTTGTTGTTGTTGTTGTTGTTGTTGTTGTTGTTGTTGTTGTTGTTGTTGTTGGTGGTGGTGGTGGTGGTGGTGGTGGTTGTGGCGGTTGTGTTTCTGCTGCTGCTGATAAACCCAGGTTTCTGGGATGGTGTAGGCTGCATGAATGCTTAAAGCTTACCGGTGAGAATCTGTCTGACGCCTGCGAATCCCAACTGACGGCAGGCCACCAGGGCGTCGTTGTAGTCGAAGAAGTCATCGCACACCGTTCCCCACTGGCCGTTGTGGAAGACCTCCAGGCGACCGACCGCCACTCCCACCGAGCGATCACCAGTACCGCTTGAAGTCTGGTTTGCCGACGAGAGCCGCAAGTAACCTGAGCATGGGTGGAGTGTGAAGGAATATGCTTACTATAACTTTGTATAAGTCAACAACTATTCGGCTCATATTTGCTTTTGGGCTATTTTCGGCCTGGTCCTATTTGGCTGAAAATTTGTTGCGGCCAAATTTGTCTTTTACAAGGTTCAGTGTCACAGTGGACACAAGCAGCAGCAGTACATGCCGACAAGTAATAGTTGATGTGGCCGATATGACTTGTGTTTTAGCCCTGGGAGGCGACATTTGAATGGGCCGAAAATATGTAGACTTGCAGTATGCCTACTACAAGTCTACAAATATTCGGCGCATATTTGTTTTCGGTTATTTTCAGCCTGGGCAGTTTTTGGCCTAAAATGTATTGCGGCTGAAATTTTGTTTCGCAAGGTTTAGTGTGACAGAGTATGCAGGTAGCAGCCGCGCAGGATGAAATTTTAATGCGGCCGAAATTTAACTGCGCCGAAAATTTGTAGACTTCCAGTACTTGTACAGGGACTCATACAATAAGAGCATCTACGGCGTATGCAGGTGTGTAGCTTGTGTATAGTCAACATAGTCTGGTCATCACATCGGCAGCTGAAATGGCCGTTATAGGTGCTATATAGTCAAAATGGCGGCTATGAGGTTGTCGTTGGTACTTGCTCACCACACCGCTATAGATGTGCGAGCTATGACCCAGGTATGAGAACGAGGAACCTAATGACTAGGACATGCCACAATAAGGATTTTGAAAATGGAACGTGTTAGCACCATAAATCTATGAAAGGGGACAACGGTCAACTTGATGGCGATACAGTCAGATCTCGCTTATCCGGTCCTCTTTTATCCGGATCCCTCGCCATCCGGAAGAAAATTGTTGGTTACCCATTTACAGCATGTGTCATGCACGCATACAGTATGTGTGTTCGATTATCCGGTTCCCTCGCCTATCCGGATATTTCTGTGGGACACGGATGTGTGCGGTTAAGCGAGGTCTGACTGTATCAAAGAGGAATCATTGAGAGCAAGTGGCTGCAGGTCAACACACTGTGCATGCAACCTTGACACGGCTGGGCTCATTGACACGGCTGGGCTCAGTGATTTTCGTCATGTGCACGCACTCGTATCTCTTATACCGACCTCAAAGTTAAGGGCACCTCGGTCTACCAAGGGGACCCTGTGGGTGAGTTTTAGTGGAAATATTACAACTCGTCTGCCAATTTTCGTGGAAATACTGACATCACAGGCCAGATTTCTGTCCCTTCCCCATGGAAACGTACAGGTACATGTATGTGAATCAGACCTGCGAACATTTCAAAGTGACAGGAAGTGCCCGTCCCGGACCGCCCGCATAAGCACAACCTTAGTTTGATGCATGAAGGTAGGCTTACCTTCTCTGGCGTTTGCTTCACATTGTCTGACTAAGAGAATGCCTAGTGCAGTGAGCAAAACTCTGTACGAAATGCACGCCCTGGCCCACGTCATTTTGGACTGTATTCACGGCAGGCCTGGGGTGGGGAAAGACAGCATAGTCACATACAGTAACACACACACACATCATGTACCAGACTCACAGATACACACACAGAGCCCCCCCCCCCCCCACCACCACATACACAAGCAAAGACAAGCACACACACACACACACACACACACGGCACACACACACACACACACACACACACGCATACACACACCACACACACACACACACACACCACACACACACACACACACACACACACACACACACACACACACACACACACACACGCATACACACACCACACACACACACACACACACCACACACACACACACCACACACACACACACACACACACACACACACACACGCATACACACACCACACACACACACACACACCACACACACACACACACACACACACACACACACACACACACACACACACACACACGTAAAACACTTATACTCCAAGTCACACATATGTACACACAGCCCCCTCTCACACACAGACACACACAGTCCCCTCTCCCACACAGGCAAATTCATGCACGAAACAGAACACTCTAGTAGACAAAATGATCCACTTCAGAAACCGTGAGTCCAAAAGGGACATTTATATTCATTCGTTCTTGTTCGTGCCCTGTACACTAGTAGTACTAGTACTAGTGCACAGCGACCGTGTACAGCACTTATTGTTGGGCACAGCCAAAGTTCGGCACAATAGACCGATCCCCTTATTATTGTCTGGGTTCGAGCAAGGGGGCAACTCCGCAGTCGCGTGGGATCCTGCTGCACACACGCGACCAACCTCATCGCGACTGTGCGTGACTTCTCGCATGCGAAGTGCAGAGCACACGAGATCTACATGCAGCAAGCCTGTCTACAAAAAATGCCACAAGGACTTTTGATTTGAGCTGTTTTGTTTTTGTTTAGACGTCTTCCTTTTTACGACTTCAGGATGCCTTCTCAGAACATTGCTGCGTTCCTCACTGTCAGAACAGGAGGACGAAGCAAACAAGTCATTTCACTCCTTTCCTCGTGTGGAGCCACAGCGGCCTGGAGAAAGCGGATCCAGGCTATTCCCCGTGAGGAAGGACGTAGTTTTAGGGTCACTCTGAATATTTGAGTTGCAGCGATCATTTCGATCCCGAAATCGAAATCGTTTTGCCCAGCTCTACAAGGACAGGATGAGTCCAGGAAACCAAACAGCTGTCCTACGGTACCAGGTTTGCTTTTCGCAAGAGAGTGGAGTCTGGACGCCCTGCTCCCCATGATCGCAAAACAGTATTTGCTGAGCCTAGTGCAGTTCGGTCATGGAAGTGCAGCGTCTGGATCAGCCATCACGAGCTCCCCATGCTCGCAAACCAGTATTTTGCTGAAAGGCAACGGCACTTTGAGTTGGAAAGGAACCTGGCTTAGTGCAGTTTGGTCCTGTAATGGAAGTGCAGCATCTGCATCAGGAGTTGGCAGCAAGTAGAGCTCGTGTACAGAGTCTCGTGGAGCAGTTGGACGATGTGAGGACTGGGGTGAAGAAAGCCGAAAAACAGCTTACGTCCAATAACATAAAGAAAGACTCTGAGCCGCTCCAGTTTCTGACTGGTTTGCCTTCAGGTGTTTGGACCGCTCTGTGGGACTTCTTTGAGCCTAGCCGAGAAAATGTACTGCGCCGCGCCAGATCTGCGAAGACGGAAGCTGAGGGACGGCGGATACAGTTGGAGGTGGCCGTAAATCGCCAATGAGCATGTAATGGAGGATCAGCTGCTATTGGCATTGATGTGTCTAAGCCTGGGCCGAATGGAACAGAAGCTGGCATGCGTGGCACAAGTTAACCATCCGTTTCACGGTATATAGCTAGCTGAGCTGGAAAGATGTCTTGTTCCTCCGTTTGGGCATGATCCCCATCTGGGTGAGCTGGCGAGATGTTCAGTCATCAATGCCATGTACCGCAAGACATTCTGCAATGGGGATGAAACAGTTCTATTTTGCCATGCACTTAGGGTTCTCGCACCGGCACGGCACAGCACAACAAGACCCAACAGATCCTTGCGCTCTTATTTTCTCCCATTGTAACATTGCTGATCACAACACCCGGTAGCCAGTCGCAGATGCAACCAAATCAACCAGGTTCTTTTTTTCCAATACGGAAACCAAAGGTATACCAATATTTACATCGAATGCAGTGATGATATCAATACTGTTCACTAGTACAACGCATAACCAGACTGGCATATTATCATGATATTATCCATTTCGCAATCACTGTCATTGCTTTCTTAGATCTCCAATCATCAATATCGGACCATAAACCGTCTACTAGTATCATCTTATATTATTTCATCATTAGTATCCTGCTACTATCCTCCTCTAACGATGAGCTTGAAGAAACGAAACAGCTGTGTAGAGGCGTAAATAATATCTGTCAACGGAAGTGTCCTTGCTGTGCTGGTGTGTTTATTCTTCGTGTATTAGTTCGGCCAAGAGCGCATGGTGGTGGCGGGTTGAGGATGTAGTACAGCGGAGTATGACCGAAAGCTCTGTCACGATTTTATTAGGAAGGTATAGAAACGGAAAAAACTGTATCTTCATCTTGGGCGTAAACAGCCCGTCTCACATTAAATATACTAGAAAATAGTTCACTCTGAACATGCAGTCTTCCTAAGAGAGAGAGAGGGGGGGGGGGGGGTATATTCATAGGTTCGAAAGAACCGCAAACACTTTGCTGCAGACAGCGGCAAGCTTTGGCCCTCGTGCTTCGAAGAGGGAGCAATCCACTGCGCCACGCTTGCGATTAACAGCAAGCTTCAACTTTTCAAAGGTACGACTCATCACTGGCTCTGGGGTAATGTTCCTGGAACAAATGCTCCATTGTCGACTGAGGGCCAGGGAGCATGCCATCTGCCTTCCTGGGCGAGAAGTGTTCCAGCACAAGAAGCAGCACGAATACATGCTGACAAAGACCACCATCACCACCAGCCGGCACACAGCACACTGTTCTTCAAACACCATCCACTCCGTCCATGTGTTTGCACTGTCCTCCTCTAGCTCTTCACGCTCAACAAATACCACGCACTGCTCATCGTTTTTTTTGCTTCCTCTGGGATGGCGAGTCCTTCGACTTGACAAAACAGCGATCACCACTGCACTGCTATCGTCACCTCATAGCAGTCGCTTCCACCAGGGGCTTTTCCTGTCTTTGCAAGGTGTCCAAGGATGGCTGCTGTTGTCACTACAGGCAAATCAGAAGTACTTTAGTGGCTGATGTCCAACCAGATCGTTGGAAAATCGATTTTTCCACTTCAGGGCTACTGATCGCGATCGCGACTTGGTGACTTGGCAGCACCACGGTTACCTTCATAGAAGATGGCTCTGAAGAGGAAAAGGCAGACCAGAAAAAGGTTACTATTGTCTTCAGCACCGATCTCAAGGAGAAAGAAATACGGTCTGCTAAAGCCTAGGCACAAAATAAATCTCAAAACACGATTCACGATTCGAATATTTCAACAACAAAAAAACTCACCTCTGGAGTAACTCCTGTTTGTGGCCCGAGATCGTTCCCTCCCGCGCCTTGAAAAAATCCTACAGCTGCATCACAGTCCATGTCTCTCTCGGAGACTCTGCTCCTACCAGCAGGAGGTTCAGCACCGCTCGAAGCCATCGCAAACTACTTGAACTAAGCAGAAGACATTCCAAAACAAACCTGAAACACACTGTCAAAGATGCTGTCACGTTCAAAAACTAGCTCGATCGCGAGTGAGGTTGCCCCCGTGCTCGAACCCAGTATAATAAGGGGATCGGTCTATACCATGATGTGTTTCAGGTTTAGATAGGCAATTATAACCAATTAGGTGTGACCTAATGGCCTGTATCAGATTATGTAAGAGATAACGTTTTATAGAAAAGCAGTTATAAGTTATAACCCGTTTACTAGGTGTTTGAGTCTCACCACAACTGGTGCAAGTGTGCAATCAACCAGCTTCGCACTTACCTTGCTTATGCCAAGTTATGGTGCTCAAAGGCTATATCTAGGACTGTGTAGAAATTGATGTACTTGAACAAGTATTATTGTAGACTACTATGGAGCATGGACACACAGTAGACTACTAATAGTACGGAGCATGGACACACAGTAGACTACTAATAGTACGGAGCATGGACACACAGTAGACTACTAATACTACGGAGCATGGACACACAGTAGACTACTATAGTAGTTAGTACTATTAAGTAGACCCAGGTGCTCGAAGTCCGTACACGTTTACAGTGTGTGTTTGCCGAGCTGAAACTCACACTAGCAATGATCACTTGCCAGAATCCTGCTCGTGGATGGAAGGTATCTTGTCCAAGTTTGTTTTGAGGCCAGGCTCGATTGAACCAGGCCATCTTTCGATCCGATCTGTTTCTCTGGAGTTCGCTCATTTTTCATATCAAAATTTGGTGTTGCAGAGGGTACTCTAAGTCCGTACTGATCAGAGGTGACTCGAAATACACACATATTTCTGCTAATTGCTAACTTGCAATCCCTCGGTTACGACGAAAGCACCGAAGGGATATGTTTGGCATGTGCCTCCACCGGTATTTCTTGCAAAAGCGTAGTTTGTTGCCGAAATGCAAGCTGTTTTTAGTCGGCTCAGAGAAGAAGCAGCTGCGCTGTGAAAACCGCGGGAAAACAGTGGTGGAGATGCCAGGAGTGTCAACCTTTCTGCAAGGATTGGTGGTTCTCTGTAAATTCTTCTCCTCTGGCCATTGTCAGCTCTAAGCTGGCTCTTGATGATTGAGTGAAGGTCTGTTTGACGCTGTGTCCGTTCGAAATCGGTCTTGGCAAAGTTGATTTTTGCATGAAATGTAACCCAATTTGTATTTCGTATGGACACTCGAAAACCCACTCCCGTGGTCTGGGACTTCTGCTGATCGTAGATCCCTGAAAATTGGTACGCGAGGAGAACATACCGTACTGTCCCCTCCATAAAATATTTGAGTCGAATACAATAACAGAACATGAAATTATGGGCGTACGAACTTAGGATACCATGTACGGACTTCGAGCACCTGGGTCTACGGAGCATGGACAGTTAGACACACAGCATTGGTTATTGTGTTATCAAACTCATGTGGGAGAAACCTACTTCTTGAAGTACTAGTAACCCTTTCAAAGTATAAGCACCAGGTCATTGAAGAAAGGACCAGGGAGTTCCTGGTAATGACTAGGTGGATGGATGGGTAATTGGACAATACTGAGTCCGATACTTCCTGCACAGGGTTGCGCCCAAGAAATAGTTATAGTTCATACAAACGCAAGCTTACCGTACTTCCGCTTGTGACTTATTGGATGCGCGCAGTTTGTGCTGCATGAACGTGGCCGATTTTCTTCGACGCTCCGATCTGCAGATTGCATGCGGCGGCACAGTACTAGTACTAGCAGCGGGACGATACTATCGTAAGGGACCGGACTTGCTATCCACGGTAGCACACAATCGTAGATGCGGTGTGTGCGCGGAGATCCCAAACTAGGCACGACGGAAACATCGCTGTCACTCTACATCCGTGAACGTTCCGCTAGCGTGGTAGATTCTACGCGTCCTCGATTCCGAAGAAATAGGCTGGTCTGGGCCTCAGCCTGTGGACTGTGATGGGGGAAGCTCAATCAATGTGAATCAATGAACCGCTGTCAAACGGCGTAAAGTCTGAGCTGGTCATTGAGAAAGCCGGACGCAGGCCGTAAAGGCGACCAAGCTAGCTAAAATCAGCGTTTCATTCAGCAAAGTCCAAGGAGATTAGGTACTTTCCGGCGAAATAACAGGAATATCGCCAAACCGGATTCGCGTGGTTCTTTATCTAGGATACAGCGGCCAGCGGGTCTTAGAAATGGCTGCATAGACTTTCTAATTCGGGCCTTGCGTCTTCTCTTTCGCCATTTCGGTTTCCTGTACGGCTCACGGCTGTCCTGGATCCAGAGGGTTTTTTGGAGGTTCGGCTGGGCATTTTTCTCGTCCAGAAACGCGTTGTGCGGATCCAGCGTGACGATGCAGATAGACTACTGGATCCGCTAACGCTCTTCGTCGTAGCTGGCACTCACTTGCTCAGCTGATCGCGTGCATGTTTTTGATCAGGTCCTGAGAGTCGGTGCCCACTTGCACTGGCAGTGGCACTAGCCTGACTAGGCACTACAGAACAAGAACAGAACTGATGACAGATCACCTGTCATTCCTTTTTCTGAACCACAAGTCTACATCCGTATGTAGATATCAACGTAGAAACAAGGTGTCGCGAAAACCCACGAATGTCATCCACTCAAACCTGTCACCCGCGTGCATGGATGGTCTACACGTAGGCAAGAAAGCTGATAGCTATCTACATCGACTGCCGAGTCCAGCCCGCACAAGACGCAAGTCCCAGCATCCCAAGCCTGTTGACGAAAGACCAGGCTTACATGACGATCTATAAGTATAAAATAATGACAAGCAGGTTTTTATTTTATTTTTTATTTTTATCGTGTCCGTTCCCGAAGGGAACTCACGACGGCCGCTAACACCCGGTAAACCCAAAACAAGCAGGTACCAGGCAGCTACAAACAGGTCGACAAAAGCTGGAAGATTTTTTACGACCTTGTTTAGGCTTGTTAGGTTCATCATTGGAGCTCAGAGTTGCTGGCCAAACTGATCGCAATAAACTCTAATGAACAACAAAGCATGTTTATGCCTGCTCAAACTTAAACTCAAAGCATCAAACTAAAATCATGAATTCAAAGTCAGAGGACAGATAAGTAAAATTACTTTGACCCCCGTAACCATGGTAAGTAATAGTTGGTTGGTAACGCGTAGACGACTAGTCGGCAAACCGCTGGCCACTAGCACAGTAACGGTAACACTCTAGCTCTCCCGTCAACTGCTCCCGTCAACTGCTCCCGTCCACTGCTCCCGTCCACTGCTCCCGTCCACTGCTCCCGTCCACTGCTCCCGTCCACTGCTCCCGTCCACTGCTCCCGTCAACTGCTCCCGTCACAATCCCCTTCAACACAAGTACATTTTCGTTCACCGTTGATTCCGCAAACACCAAACCGCCATCCGGGTCAATAGCCTCCAAGCTTTCTGGGCTAATGTCCACCACTATCTTGAATATTCTTTGCCTTAGCCAAGGTTGCGCCACTGATTCCCTCTGCACACTTATAACAATAATTATTATTTATTATCAAGATACATGCACCCCTTCTAAGTTCTAGCATGTACATTGTAGATGTAAGTGCTCCTGTCCTCCACGCTTGCTCATCCATACAAGGACATCTAATCTTATGCACTCCCTGACCCATCCTAGTCTCCAGATATCCTCACCAGTGTTACAATAATCCGATTATCCCCTCTCCACGCTGTCTTCTCTATGTTTACAGTAATCCCCTTTCCATTCCTCTCCCTATAGTATAAACTCTCACGGGGAGAAAGCTCGCGCCGTCGCGGTAACGCTTCGAGTTGAGTGAGATGAGGGTCCGTAGTCTCAACCACCTCAAAGTGTTGTCTTTGCACCGCGTTTCTGTTTTGTTTCCTTAGCCTCTCTAGCCACACTTCTCACCTTCCCTTTCTATCTTTATTTTGCTTCTATCCTCTCAGTGTGCATTATTAGCTACCACCCTTGTGATGCCATTTATCCGTACCTTTCGTTGGTTCTAGTTGCTTGTATTCCATTTGAAGAGAATGCCCGAAATCCGGTTCTGGAATTTCCTGAATACTCATTGATGATGGTGCGTTGGTGGTGAAGAGTGCGAGATAATATTTGTAGCCTTGTTTTTTCATAAAGCCAGCATGCTATGGAACTGTTTACCGCCATCTCTCACTTTTATAACCTGTCTCCCCGAATTCAAACATTCCCTCCGGTAGCTTTTTCGCCAATGCACTCCGACTAGGGTTTATCGGGTTTATCGGGTGTTAGCGGCCGTCGTGAGTTCCCTTCGGGAACGGATACGATAATTTACTTACTTTACTCCGACTACACTGAACCGTGGCATTCCAACCCCTTGTCTTTCGCCATTGCCGTGCCTGCAGCCTGCTTCTTCTCTTTGTTTTCTTTCTTTGCACTCTTGTGCTCTTTCCAGACCGCAATGCGTCATGAAATTTCTTGCAGTTGGAGTCTCCTGGACATGCATGAAGCCACTGGGGAATCCTTTCGAGGAAAAAATACAATAAATACGATAAATAAAAGGGTTTTTCTGACGATGGGTGACTGGCATGGTAGGCATAATTATGCGGATAATGCCGGCAGAAAGATTGGCAGAATTCGGTACTTTTTCTGGTAAGTTTCATGCATGTACATGTATGTGGATAAAGAAATGAAGCACGAGGAATTACCCGCCATAAGGTGTGTATGGTTCTGCCAATTTCACTGCTTTTCGAGCAGAATATGCCACCTTTTCGAACATTATCCCCCACTGCCTAGTGACTGGCCCGAAACGTCAAGAATTTGTTCGACATCACTAATAAAAGAATTTTTGTCTAAAGAGTGAAGAGCAATTTAAAACTAAATAGAGCGGTTGTCAGTTGACAAACCCCCGTTTATTCACATGTACAATGCAGTTGCATGATGTCCACCACTTTCTGAACGAATAAATACGATACAAAAAAACATGATCGCCTAGGGTGCACTATTCGCAAGGTTGACTATACAGTGAATGTCCATGACGCACTCCAACTGGGCTACTAAACAGTCCATAGAATAACACAGAGATAATACAAAAAGACGTGTAATAGAGACATGTCTGGTTATGATTTTTTGATCAACTGAACAATCGACATGTTTAAAAAGTACACAAAATTAATAATTATATGGATATCACAGAGCAGAGTTGCTGTTGTCTCGTGTGTGTTGCATTATTAGATCTATCAATGTAACATTTGGCAGAGTGTATATTGCTGTTATTACACGTCCGACCAATCAGTAGGCTGGTGCCCGGTTTCTCTCTTCTCACCCAAAATCACGGACAATGATCGATCACGATGTGTCACATATCCACGGATGTACGCTTTCAAACTGCGCAAGGTTGACGGGCCCGTCTTCCCCCCAGATGAAACACATGAAACAAGATGAAACGAGATGAAACGAGATGAAACAAGATGAAACGCCAAGTACGGGCGCAGATGGGGCCGAGATGAAACGAAATGAAACAAAATGAAACAAAATGAAACAAGATGAAACAAGATGAAACAAGATGAAACCAAATGAAACTCGAAGTACGGGCGTAGATGGGCCGCGAATGAAACAAGATGAAACAAGATGAAACAATGTATGGGCGTAGATGGGGCGCACGCGACCATGTACCACGCGTGAACGAGCGAAAAGAACTGAATCCAATCATTGAAATAATTTTGTTTGCAGAGGCAATTCGCGCAAGGGAGGGATAGCAATTTGATGGCTTGCGAGTGACAGCACGAGCCGAATTTATTGCCCGTGGAAGTACCCACGATAGGAATACACTGTTGGGAACATGGTGGCGCCGCTGACGGTACCTATGTAAGTGGAATTACTTTATTGGAAGTACCCACGACGGGGAAAATAGTCTAGTATTGTCGGTGAATGGTGATGGTGGTGGTGGCGATGGCTACTTTCCTCTGCTCAGAGAGAACCCCTGCATGTCCTTCGTCGTGATGCGAAAGAGCAGTGGATGCAGGTAAAGGCCGTGTCAGAGAATTTCGCCTAGTGCTGTGGCCAGGGTGAAAATAAATTAGGGCTGAAACGATCATTCAATAACTCCAAGCGATCAACCAATCTCTTTAGCGATGAATATCATTGTAACATAGAAAAATGTGGGCACAAGTTATGCAATCGAGTCCTCCAACTAAACCAGATTTCGAATAGTCAGACGTGCACAAGGCTAGCACAAAACTGACAAGGAGTATGAGTACTGAGACATTGAGATCAATTATAATTGTTGGTTCATAATAATAGATTCTTTCCGGCTGTAGTCGTGCACCTCGAACACAAGACTATGAAGAAATTCCATGATGCCTTTGCTACATTAGCTGTGGCCACCAGTCAAACACTCTAAATATACCCAGGCTACCGCTTAACATTTCAGACAATTGTGTCGACACCTGTAGACATCTGACTGGTCTAAAGCCTAGTTCACATTCGACGTAACACTGACGGTACAGGACGTAAGGGCCTGTCGGGACGGCTGGGGTGAGCTGTAAAATCTTTTACGATTCGTACGACACGACATGCTGCAGTCGTTGCGATGTTCTCCAGCGAACGGCGCGAGTCATAAGTATAGAATCAGACATGGATGTCAGGGCAGTATCGTTGATTCAGGCCCGAGAGCGGCCCAAGGCCGAAGGCCGCGGGCCGCTCGAGGGCCGGAATCAACGATACCTGCCCTGACATCCATGTCTGATTGTATTTCACACTGCCACCCACGCAGGACAGCACAAGCGAAAGCCACAACGCTCTCCTCAGCAGAACGTGCAAGTGCAAGCGCACCCGCAGCATGCTAGCAGCGCAAACAAAGCCACTGTACTGCACTAATCTACATAAATCGAACTTGAAATACATCGACTAGAAACACCGAGTGCCTGCCTTCCCAAGTTCTCAAGTCCTTTATGGCATTCGTTGCACAACAATGGTAGAAACTCACAAGCTGAAGTTCCACGTCCGTGCGCTCTCGGGCAAGCCGTCGAGCGCACGGCTGAAGTTTCGTTCTGAAGTAGGCTCCGTGCGCTCTCGGGCAAGCCCTCGACCGCGCGCACGGTACGGCTGAAATTTCGTTCTGAAGTTTCGTTCTGAAGTAGGCTCCGTGCGCTCTCGGGCAAGCCCTCGACCGCGCGCACGGTACGGCTGAAATTTCGTTCTGAAGTTTCGTTCTGAAGTAACGTTAGTTTCAGCTCACAAAGTTTCAGGTCCTGAAGTTCCAGCTCCGTGCGCTCTCAGTTCCGAAGTTTCATGTCGACCAAGGTGAAGTTTCATCTTTTGTTGATTCAGGTCATCTCAAGGAAGGTGAAGTTTCATCTTTTGTTGATTCAGGTCATCTCAAGGAAGTTGAAGTTTCAGGTCCGTACTCTCTCCGGCTTTGTTGATTCAGGCCCTCGAGCAGCCCTCGACCGTCGACGAGAGAGAGTACGGAGCTGAAGCTCACAAGCTGAGTCCTCCACGTCCCCGACCACCACCCCTAGGAGTACCTTCCTTTTATACCTTCATCCCGTCGTGCTCAGTTTCACCTCCACACGCTCTCAGGACGTGCTGATTGGTCAAAGGCCTGAATGGCACGGCATGTACTAGTATGTCGAATATACCCATAGCCATGTGTGAATATACCCATGTGTGAATATACCCATGTGTGAATTCATTCATTCATGCCCTACCATGTGTGAATGAGTATATTCACACATGGTAGGAGGGCATGAATGATCACGTGATGGGGTGTACAGCGCGGTGCATGGTAGTACCGTAGTAGTAGACGTGGCTGGCAGGGCATGATCAGAGGTTCATGCCCAGCCTGTGACCGCTCTGATTGGGTCAAACCGTGGCAACGATCACGTGGCAAGTGTGAAGGCACAGTCCGTGACGGGGTGACTTTCGGACCTAATTTCTTGTTTTTCGGGACTTCTTTTCAATTATTTCTCCTTGAATGAAGCGAAATCAAATTCACAATACCAGTTTTTCATGGAGACAAAAAGTAGCCCTGAAAGTTGTGCCATTCGAATAGTAGCCCTAGGAAATGATAAAACAGTTCATCTGTCATTCTCCTAAACTATCCCCAAATACCATAAGTGACATGAGATCTTATCTTGCTAAAATTCAACTCAAGTCGTTTTAGCCATTCTGCGAGTTATCATGGGAAGCGCAGTGTTCGAAATCCTAAAAATTTCCTAGTACGAATCGGGAGTGGATGGCGCACGACGCCGCCTCCTGTTCTCACTCAAAATGCAGCCGTTTTGTACGCTTGCGTCTCCGTCTATGCCCGTCTACGGTATGAAAAGTTGAACTGATCCAACACTTCCCGTCGCTTCCCGATCCGTACGGTAGTATGGTTGCGTTCCCGTTCCTGGTGTTCACATTGGACGCCGTCAGACCGTCCTGTCGCTTCCCATCGATCCTTACGCCGCGTCCCGTCGAATTTGAACTATAAGTTTGTAGGCTTTATCAATATGAACTAGAGGAGTTCATGTTGTTGTTTCTAGAACGAAGAATCAGGCTTGTCGTCACCCTTTGGCTTGAAGCTCTTATCACCAACTTCCGCAACGAATCAATCGAAAAGATACCGTCTTGACTCCCGATCTCTTTCATAGCCACGCATCAATATTACTGCGCTTGAAAGTACACGATTGCACTCGTATCCACAATTGGATGGAGTGCAAGGGCTAGAATACTGCCACTGGTATGCATGCATAAAAATCGTTTGCATTCGCTTTGAACACTAACGATTATCGATTGCGCTCTTAAAACGATCGGGTTGCGAGTTATCTGTATACTTGTTTCAGCCCTAAATGCATTGCCCTCGTAGAGGACAGGGATGCGCAGTGATATGAGCAGGGATGTGAGTACTGATGTGCCTTTCGCCCTCATATTTTACAGAAAAGACGTCTGCCCCCAATAATAAAATTAATGTAGTAATGATAATGTGTTGCCCTTTCATCTTCTCAGGAGCCCTTGCCTCTTCTCCCCTGGACTGAATGGACTGGACGCTCTGTCCAGTAGTGTCCAGTAAATGATTTGTAGTGTAAGTTAGGGTGCACTCTCTCTTGAGGATTTGCCCACCTTGATGATTGTGCTCTTCGTGTTATTAGAAAATGTCTCTACCTGCCAGGATGGTATAAGAGCACGAACTGAATCACCTGTTGGTGCAGAAGGCTTGGAGGACTGCTTTTGAAACAGTTGTTCAAATTTCCTGCGCCTCTTCGTAGCCGTTGTCTGATTGCTGCATTCTGGGGAGACTGAAGTTAAGGTTAGTGAAGCTGCACAGTCCCCGTGGAAATGTTAATGCTGCAACTATTTACTGCTGACATGTATTTATGTATTTCAGGAATCTCCAGAGGGTGAAGGCTTGCTGCAAGCTCCGTCCCTTCAATGTCGTGATACATCCGGAGATCAGTCGTGTGCCTGTCCTGTGCTTTTATGAGCATGCTCCTTTGCACATGCCTTTGTCCTGTGCATGCGCGGGCGTGGGCGCGCGCGCGTGTGTGTGTGCGTGTGCGTGTGTGTACGCCAACGACACCGTCCGTGCACATGTGCATGGACGTGAGTTTGTGCGTTTGCCTTTGTTATATGCATACAGTATTATCAATTTATCATGCCTATACAAGCCTTGCCAGTGTCTCGATAGGAGAAGCAGATACATGATTACACCACTTGGGTTTTGACCTTCTTTGGCCGGGGCGAATGTCGAAGGAAAGACTCCCTCTGGGCCAAGGTGTTGGCGACAGTTGAGAGTTGTCCTCTATTTTGCAGCGGGGGACAGCATGGCATATTTGGTGCCGGAAAGAGTGCAGTTGCACTTTTCATGTTACTGTAAAATTTGCTAGGTCACTCCCTTGAAGCTGGAGACTGCTGATACTGCTGCTCAAACGGCTGCTGCTGTTACTCTCTGCTGCTACCATGGTCGTTGCTTTGTATCAAAGGCGAAAATTCTCAGATGAGCTTTGGGTCCGGGCACTAGAACCCTGCTGCTGCCTCTGCAGCAGTTGTAGAAAGTTTTATAATACCAGTGTCGATGGTGAACTTCTGCTCTTTTTTTATCCCAGACACTTTGTGCTCAAGAGACTGTTAGGTCTTTGTGGTGTTGTCGTTGCTGTTTGGTTATACTAGTTGGCGTCTGTTTGGAAATATATTGTGCTTTTCTGTATGTTCATGTGAACGTAGAAGCCCTCACCGAAACCAACACTACGTTGCTGTGTTGTTTTCTTCCAAGGTCGGGCACAGTAAAGGAGACGACTCTGTGAGTACATTCGCAGATGAACTTTGGGTTAATAGAATGCAGGTGCTGCTGCTCTTGTGCCGGGCTGTTGGTGTCAATGATGGGGTGGATCATGCTTTCTCTTTATATACCTTTTGTATATTTGTGTGTAAGTAGGAGCACATACCAACACGTAATCTTTCTAAAGCCTAGTTCTCTTTCGACGCAACGCTGACGGTACGGGACGTAAGGGCCTGTGCCGGCTGGGGTGAGCTGTAAAATCTTGTACAATTCGTACGACACGACATGCTCCAGTCTTTGCGATGTTCAACAGCGAATGGTGCGAGTCATAAGGCACAGTCCGTGACGGGGTGACCGTCCCGGCGTTTCCCGTCGATCCTTATGTCGCGTCCCGTTGCGCCCCGTCGAATGTGAACTGGGCTTCACAATGGCATGGAGACAGTTTCAATTGCAGTTTAATGTTACTGCACTGCACTGCAGGTATCAAGGCACTACCCAGAGGGAGGATGTTGGCCTTCTCCTGATGGGAAAATGTCTTCTTTCTCATGGCGTGGCCAGGACTGCACTGACCCTACCATCCACTCTACCTCTCCGGAAAGGGACTTGACAACCAGTCAAGATGGAAGTGCAGAGATATACCAGCGGTAAGTCACATGCTTAGGATATCCACTTGATGAAGGAAGGACAGGTGCTCAACTACTACACCAAAATGTGAGCATAAGGAGATGGGCTGATGGGTCATGGATGGGTGACAGGTCTTTGCCCGGTTGCTGGAGTATAACAACCTGGGTCTTTGATTGGTTTAGAAGCGGTCCGCTCTATTCGGGGTGCCATCCTCAATTAGACGGGCAGTGAAGATCTTGCAGGATCAATCGCACATGTAGAATATGGACATGTGGATGCGGGCAGCAGATCTGTAATTTCCAGTATCAAAGTTCAGTTGTATTTGCTTTTCTTTATTTTCTATTTGTGATGTTGTTCACTGCAGCTTCTAGCATTAACTGCCAATTTGCACTGACGCAGCAAGACTCCCAACAGTCAAGTATGTTTCATTGCATGCACTAGGATTACAGTAGAATGCCGATCATCCGAATGTCAACTGTCCAAACGGTCAATTATCCGAAATTCCTGTTTGCACTGAATTCAATTCAATAAGTCGACTTATACCGGTAAAATATGGTAACAGCGGGACTGCAGGGTGTGGTATTTCCATGATACAGTGGAAATTTTCACGATTTTTGGTGCAAACATAGCTCGGACGCTGCTCGATTGGATATACAATGCAGGTTCTTGGAACCACGGACACGACTCTTCGATTCAAGGATCACAACACTTCGGGATCTGAACGTTTTAGGTCCGGGAGCTGTTCGCGGTTTTGTCGCTTGTCACGGTTGTGGACTCATCGTTGTAGCATAAATGAGGCTGGACTATTCCAAGCGGAAAACTAAAATATTTCTTTCTCAAAGACCAATCACCGGCCCGGAGGAGCACACCTTCTCTAACTACATACCGGGTGCAGTACATGACACGTCCGTGTATTGACTAGTCTCTTGTACATTTAGATCTACCACACGACTCGCGTAGCGCTAGCACAGCAGTGCGGGTGTAGTCATGTACTACTACTACTACAGTACTGCCGGGCGCCGAAGAACGGACCGCCGATGAACGGCCAGGCTATGATTTCGCTATTTTTTAAGAACGGTCTAGGTAGAAACGTAATGTACAATATGAATATGATGTACACTCAGACGTATAACTCTGCATAAATGTACATGTAAGACTGTACCATCGAATATGAACGAAACTGCTGTGTTCGCCAAAAATAAGAACGGGCTAGGCTAGAACCCTGACCCCGTTCTTCGGTGCCCAGCAGTACTGTAGTGTAGTGTTCCGTATGTTTGTTGACTATGGCATGCACGCAGAAGCCAGCGGATGTAAAAAGTCCAACTCGGAAACGGCTAAAAACGGGGTATCCTCAAATTTTGCCGAGCTGAAAATCACAGGGTACGTAGGGCTTGTAACAGTGAGTCGAATGCTCTTGGTACGAAGAAGCTGCGACAGATGGTTCTCAAATCGAACGCGTTTCGAATATTGGCCATTTTGCACACAAATAGATGGTGTGGCTACCTGGCTGCACACTGTGACCTTATCACCTGGATCAGGTAGACTGCGTGCTCGCTTTCGCTCATTTTCGATTGGGCGTATCTGACGAACCATGGACCGCAGCCTCCTCGGAAAAGAACATTCGACTCAGCGCCCCAAACTCTATGGGTCCTGAAATTAAAAAAATTCAGCAGACTTCCCCTCTAATACGTAAGGCAGAACTTATTACAGTCCTTGATTAGAAGTTGACATATTCTTGTACGAATCCGGTGTCTTTTGTGAAAAATGTATGCAAGCCTTTTAAAAAGCATCTCCCACCAGGCATTCGATCGAATTTTTCATGGCGTGGAGATTTGTTACGGCGTGAACCGATGCTTGGCGTGTAGAATTTGCTTTTTGATGTGTTCTTTGGAAGATGCAGTCTTAAAAATGGTGTGGATGTCTTTGTTTCTGTCCTTCTGCTGTCCTCGTAGAAAGAATAATATAGACGTGCAGAAAATGTAGGAGAGCGATGACATCAGAAGGACACTCTCAGGTTCAGGGTACCTGTACTGCCCCAATAAAGTGGGTCAGATCCCAAAACGAGGTTGGCCGAAGCAAAAAAATAGAAGAGCCTGCCTTGAACTGAATATGAGGAAGAAGAAGAAGAAGACGAAGAAAGAGAAAGAGTAGTAATTTGTTTGTGTAAACTTTGTTTCCTCTGTCTAGGCTGCCATCGCATTATAGCAGCCAACAGTGTGTGTGTGTGTGTGTGTGTGTGTGTGTGTGTGTGTGTGTGTGTGTGTGTGTGTGTGTGTGTGCATATGTGTGTGTGTGTTTGCGTTTGTGTGCACACGCTTGTGTGTGTGTTTGCATGTGTGTATATTCTGCTAATCTTGACTTAAATTTCCACATCTGGGCATATTGTGTTCTGTATGTGAATTTATCTTCATTAACTTGTGCGCTACGTTCCTTTCTTCACGTTATGGCACTTTAGTATTGTTTTACTTGAACATCATACTCTCGCCCAACTTTGTTTCACTAACTAAGGTTTATTCTCCAAAGTATTTCTAATTGATTGTGTATGAGTTTCATACTACTGTCAGGGGCGTCGGAAGGTATTTTAGTGTGGTACGGTCAGCCATCTGAAGTACAAGTTACTCGTGGGGGAGTGGTGTCTGAGACGAAAATTTTGGAATTTTATACCCCAGATCAGTGTATTTTGTTGACTCACGGGTATCTGGGGCAAAAAGTGGTACGGTAAATACCGTAGTGACCGTACCGTGTGCGACGCCCCTGACTGTTGGAATCCACCAGCTGTGTTTCCTTGAGGGGCGTATCCTTACCTGGGATGTGTTTTCTCATTCCCGGCAGCAGAAAGAGCTCTACAATATGTATAATTTAAGAATAGAATTAGATGTACAGGAGAGTGCCAATTATCCCCACCCCTCGGGACGCGGGCTGTCTCCAGAGGGTTCAGATGAGAAGAATGTTCGGATAAGAGAGCAGTCACACATCTATCTAAATCATGCATATTCCAGCATGTTTTCATCATTTTCATTCTCTTCAGCAGTGCAACAGGAACTAGGTGCACTCGTGCTCCTCTAAATTAATGACACTATTATTACACATTTTGACTCAAACCTGTTGTAATACATCTTGTGAATCGCTTCAATGGTGCCCCGAGCGACGAAAATCAACAACTTGAAACTCATCTTCTACCCCTCAATTAAAATGCAAGAAATTATTTTGGATAATTAATCATTTGGATAGTTGACGTTAGGATAATCGGCACATTGTGTGTGATGGGGGGGGGGGGGGGGGGAGGGAGGAAGAGGAGGAGGCTGCGAGAGGCCGTGGTGGATGTCTACTTGTGCAGAGCCTGGAAATAGCCTCACTTTAGATGTATGCACATTCAAACGGTGGATTCTTCCCGCCATCCTTTTCCCCCTCTTTTTCCTTTTCCCGCCATTCTTTACCCCCTCTTTTTCAATTTCCCGCTCTTCTTTTCCCCCTCTTTTTCCCCCTTTTTCTCCCCTTTTCCCCCTTTTCTGCGAGAAGATTAGCCCCCTCCTTCCCGCCCAGTGGGTGGTCGATCCACTAGGTTAGCCACGGAGACTGCCCACTGCCACCCGCTCCAGCTCAAGTCGACGCTGCCCGTGCGCATTCGTAGCAGCCTCCAGGGTTCCTACCCAGACTGCATTATTCCCTTGTGGAACAGCCTACCAGCGACCATTCTACCAGCACGGCCGCAACCCAGACAGCTCCAATCATTCATGGAAAAATGCAACAAGTATCTGCTGCACCTGACCTGGCAAGCAGCCACCGACGCCCTATGAAACGGTTTAGACCAGTGCCTCACTAGCATCCCCCCCCCCCCCCTTACCACAATGTGACGTTATCTTTCACTCTGCTTCTCTCACGACCATCTACCCATTGTCCTTGTTTCTCACTATTATTCATTTCCCCTCTTCCTCCCCTCTTCATGGTTTTACTGCATTATGGCGCGCTTTGTCTGCGTAGACGCCGAGACCTTTGAGGTCGGCAGAGCAGCCTGGCCCCGCCACCACTTCTCGCACATATTCGGGAATATAGTGGACTTTCGTATAAAAAAAATAAATAAATAAAAAACTCGCCCAACCGATGTCAACCTCAGTGGCCTCACCCTCCGAATAATCAGCTCATCTCTCCAGTAGCTCCACCTCTCCTTCCATCATGATCAGACATCAACCATATCTCATTTTTTTAATTTAATTATTAGAGCAATACCCATAGCTTGTACAGTCATGGCTGCTAAAATCCAGAGGTCATGACTTCGTAACATGCATAATGTACATGTGCGCGGAGTGTTGCGGATTAACCGTCACTACTAGTATCTTGTTCGCCCCAGGATACCTGATATGGCTGATAAAGACTGATTCAGTGGCATATTCTGCTATTTGTACATAATATACTGTATCAGTGTGAGAAAAAATTTTGAAGAAGACGAGCCTGAGCATACAATACTGTATTGCCATGATTTCTACAATGATTTTCATTGAAAACACTATCTGCTTGACCTCAGAACCCTTTGCCATGCAGACCACCGGCACTCATCAGTAGGCCCCAGCGGCAAATGCTAGCACCCAAAGTAGCATAAAAGGGCCTTTTTGTGACTCCACACGATGCTAGCATAAACAGCAGTTTTTACCGGCATCCGGTACATTTTTGCCAATTTTGGCATTCTGGATGTGGAATTCGGTCTAGATTACACTATGAAACTAGTATTACGGTACTACCACATTGATAATTGCATGCACTACATTCAATTTGTTTGCATTACCTAGTTGTGACCAAGACCCACATTGCCATTGGTACTTCTTGGTATTTGCTCTTTTGTATTGCAAATATTTCCATAGCAACATGATGCCAACATCGCACCTTTAAAAACTCTTTTTACATACCTGCTTTGTGAGAATTCATAAATAGCACGGAACACCGTTTTCAACCCACATGTTTCACCATTACCATTAATAGGTAGCATAATTCGTGTTGTCTAGCATCCAAACTAGCATCTTTCTGAGTTGTCAGCTAGCATCCCAAAAAGCATCTTGGCAACATTTAGCTAGCATCTGCCGCTGGGGCCTAACTGTCTCTCCTCCTTCGTATCATGTAGTGTCACTCCTTTCATTTTTTTGGTGCGTTTTATGTCCCCATGACGTCGAGACCTCAGGTCGGCTGAGGGCAAAAAGCCTCACCATCACTATGCTCCCACTATGCAATTTTTTGTCTTTGCCTGTGAGCTGTGACATCCTTTCTGACCGATCACAGTATTCTCCCTGACTCGCAATTCGCGTACAGGAAGAACCACAGTACGGAGGACGCTCTTGTGCTAGCTGTCAATCGCTGGCTAAAAGCGAAGTATGAGCGCAAACTCACAGGTGTGATATTCGTGGATATGTCAAAGGCTTTCGACTGTGTCAAACACACCATCTTGGCACAGGAGCTATCCGACATTGGGGTCGGCGGTACTATCCAGCTATGGTTCACTAGTTACCTGAGTGAGCGGCTTCAACGTGTAGTTGTGGGCGGAAATTGCTCGGAATACGTCGCATGCAGTCGAGGGGTGCCGCAAGGATCCGTCCTCGGCCCCCTCCTGTTCACACTATACATCCGTAACCTTCGATGCTGCTTGCCCCAGCAGGTCACAAACCAGGAATTTGCAGACGACATTGCAATTGAAGCCTCGGGCAGTTGCGAACAAGTGTGCTCTTCTCTAAGCACAGCCATCACTGGCCTGTCGCAGTGGTTGGAGGACCGCGGACTAATGCTGAACCAAAACAAGAAAACGCAAGCTCTGTTGATTACCCCAAGAGGCCCAGCCCCTGACACAGATAACATACGAATTCGATGTGGGAATGTAGCCCTTGCAGTTGTGGAACAAGCGCAGTACCTGGGCGTAATGGTAGATGGGCAGCTCTCCTGGGCGCCTCACGTCAATCACACAATCCAGCAGGTGCGGAAGTCAGTAGGTGCGCTGTGGCGGAGCCGCCGAAGCCTCACCCTGGCGTCAAAGATCCTGTTTTACAGGTCGATGATCCAGGGTAGGTTGTCGTACGCTTCCAACGCCTTTTATCCGTCACTTCAAATTGGCAACATGGAGCCCCTCACACGTCTAACGAAGTGCGCTATCCGCGGCTTCTTCGGTCTGCCACCGTGGTCACGCACGAGCCCGATCTTTGAACAGCTCCGCCTCACCACCCTGGAGGACATGTTTAACATTAAGCTCCTCATCTTTGTCCGTCGTTGTCTGTTCTCCCGAGCTAGCTCCCTCTTCACCAGCTTCTCCACCGTTTCGATTGGTCTGCTGTTCTGTCGTTATGCTTGATTTTTTTTCCATTTTCAAGGAGCGTATCGCGTTTGTTTGATGTTGCTTGAATGAATGCCCTAAAAGTAATCAAACACTTCGTAATAGTCCTCAAGGACTGCAAGGACTTTGCATCAATCGTATACGATCGTCTAGCTATCATATTAAAATTATTTTTATTTTTATTTCATGAGAAATGTATTTATATCCCTGTGAAAATTATGTGAACTCCACGACACTCTTCCTCTACTAGGCTCTAGTATGATGTCAAATACAAGGGGATCCACAAACGCAGTGCCAGTGTATTAGTTGTAGTAGGAGGAGGATGTATTGTATGCCGATGACAAGAAAAAGCTTCTCAAGCTAATACATGTACTCGTATTCCATGAAGTAACCGCTTTGATGTCACAAACATGACACTGTGTCAGTGAAACTGCCTCGTGACAACAAATCATTGCATTTCCATCTAGGGGAAGATTGACTGACGGCAACGCTGTACAGATTGTTCAAATCATCTCATTTCAATTTAGTTGCAGTGAAATGAAACACTGTGGAGTACACTACATGTATGTTGGTGTGTCTGTGCGTCTTGAGTGTGCACAAACGATCTTATTCCTCGTATTACTAATAGATTATTGTCCCCACCGTCACCTGTTTACAAGTCTTTGAGTGGATGGATTTTCATTGAGCATCACATTCGTTGAGAACTTGGTAGTTGTACATGTAGTTGTGTGCTCCCATGCATCATTACGGTAATAAACGTATCCTTGTGCTATTTTGTTGCAGGTGTGCTGATCTTCAGAAGCTTGAGGAACTGAGTGCTGCTGAACATTTGCATGGCCATGAGCAATGGTGAAGCTTGCTATTGCAGTCTCAGCATGTGCTAGTATTATGCTGACTACTGCACTATGTTACCCTCTTACACTACTACATGTACATGTATGTAAACGTGCGTGCATCCGCCCACGTATGCATTCGTTTCGTATAATTATTTGTTATCCCTCTTGACTTTACGTGTAAATGGGTGGACGTTTGCATGGCTGTTGGAGTTGCGTGTGTATTGTGTCTCTACTCGTTTCTTGGTGTTTTCTTGGCGTTGTATAACTTTGTGTGTGTGTGTCTGTGTGTGCGCGCGCACAA